CTATGTGTGCCCTGCAAGTGGCTGGTAACCAGGACAGCTGGGATAGGCTCCAGCAAGCCCGCAGCGCAGGTGAGGATAAGTGGATGGATGGATGCATGGATATTTATATTTCGACAACTAAAATGTCAGGAACTTTGAGGTTTTTTGTTTTTTTTTCACCCATAGTCACATGTACGTGAGGTTATTCTTGTAATTAAGGCTACAATTTCCAATTGAAGTTTCAGGAACTTTTAGTTCTTGGAACTACAGCCACATTCCTACCTGAAATTCCATGACGTTTTTCATTCTGGTACTTTTAGTTAGTCGCAAGGTTATAAAAATCTAAAACGGTTACACCCTTGGTTCGTGGAATTTCATTCCTATTTCCCAATTTCAGTTCCAAAAACTTAGTGTCACTGGATAATTTCCTGTGATACAGCTGAGGTTCTCTAGCGCTTTTAAATTTTCCAGACAAATAAGTTTGAATAAATGGATAACCCTGATGACTCACCCGGCCCTAGCAGTAAGTCTGTGTCAGTCAGTCAGTCAGTCTTACAATTAAGTCAGTCCTACTAATAATTAAGTGTGTCAGTCAGTCAGAAGGTAAAGATGTCTTACATAGGAGTGACTCATGGTGTACATGTTATTCTCCAGGTGACAATTTCCATCATTGGAGAGCTTGCCATTGCCCAGTCCTCCATCCCCAAAATGGAATCCTGCATCTGTGGCAATGACGAGGAGACGAGTGAAATTCCTCCAGCCGATCTGGTCCTCGCACACGGCCGCCTGCATGATGGCATCCGACCCTCCTTCAGAATAGTCCAGGTTTCCAGAGGTCGGTTGCTGGCTGAGCAGCTGGTGGAACTGGTGGCCATTATTGGTAAGTTGTAGGATGTTCTTGTAGTTGACGCTGTTCTGGGAGCTGGACGGATTGGCGCTGGTGTCTGGCATCAATGTCTTTCCCACGAATGAGCCAAACCCTGCAGGAGAAGACAACTTTTATTTCTGAGTATGTGTACTTTGTATAGGTAGTTACTGGAACTAAAGTCACATTTGCAGAAATGAACTAAAACCTTATCTCTCCTGAAGATTTCAGGATCTTTTACTTCTTGGTCATTGTAATTGATGGAACTAAAGGGAAGAACTAGCCCACGGCAAGGTCTTCTTTCAACCTCTCAAAAGGGACCCAGAACTAAATTCTAACCATGGTTGTCATCGTCCAAGCACACAGAAAATTTCCTAGTTGCGGAGAAACGTCACTGCGGTGGAAAAGCGGCATGAGTAATGACATCTTCCTCACCGATCCTGTAGTCTGAGGTGAAGCTCTGTATTTGGGATATGATATCTAAGCCAAGGTTCTTGGCGTTGTCCAGATCATCCTTCTTGGAGAAGGACTGGTCCATCAAGAAGTACACATCTAAGGGATAGTCCTCAGTTCGCTTGAACTTCAGATCAAAAGTCTGCGGTTCACCTGCGGGACCAATCACCACCGAGTCAGTTTACAGGAAATGCCTTTTCACAGTAAGATTTCTCGAGAGGATCTACCAGATCTGAGGGTGAGGCTGAGCTTCTGGGGCTGCATCTGAACGATCTCATCCTTGTTCCAGTTGGAAAAGGGTTTGTTCTCGTTGATCAAGATGCTACCGCGAGGATTCTCGATTTTGACCACGTTGCACCGTCTGGCCTTCAGAGACTCCACGTCATCACAGCGAGTAGATTTGGACCCATGAAAGTAAAAGAACTAACGATACAACACAAAGGCAGGTCGTGATTTGGAAGATTCATGCACAGAAATTTACTTTGGGGCAGGGTGTGGAATGAGATTAGGGGGATATGTTAAATATTGGCAAGGATTTGGATAAATTTGTTACTTTATCTAACCCAATGTAATTTAAACTATATAGGCTTTTTCAAATATTGAAAAAAAAACATTCTGGGGCTGGAGTGGATCGCAGTTCAATTAATTCCAACAGGAAAGATGATCGGGATTCAAAACTGAGTTTTGGTTTGATGGTTGGTTTTTGGACCCAAACAGATATTGACATATTAGGGCCTTGACCCGTTTCTTTCAGTCAAGCAGCTGACCTCCTCCTCTGCGCACCATCCGCATGACTTGTCCACTTGGATGCACTCATCGCACGAGCGAGCGTTAGCCTTGATGCAAATGCTCGGCTCTGAAATTAAAAAAAAAAATATGAACGCCACAAGCGAACCATTCACACTCATCAATATGGCTTGATCATGTTAAACAGAGTGTCTAACGACACAGCCGTACGGCAGGGAGAGTTTCAAATGACTTTTTCTATGCAGTTGGGCCAAACTATCAAAAAAATAGTAGCCAAGTCAATTTTAATCCTACAAAATAGTCAAATTGTACAAAAGATGTACAAATATAAAACACGTTATGTCAAGTGGTGATAGCGTTACTTGTTGTCCCTGGAGTACAAGGGCCTTATCCCATTTATTTCTAGACATGTCTTACCTTGCTCCGCTAGGCTGAAACTTAGAAGCGCCAACAAGGACGCCAGCACGATTCGCCGGAGATACATCTGGAAACAAACAGCAAAAAAAAAAAAAAAAAAATTATATAGAAATATATATTATATATATATAAAATGTTATATATATATATATATATAGAGAGAGAGAGAGAGAGAGAGAGAGAGAGAGAGAGAGTGTTAAATTATGTTTCTTATATTTCTTTATCTTCTGTGAAAAAACGACGCGCACACCACAAAGGATTTGTGAACATGATGTTCTACGATTCAATTCTGTATTCTATTTATTTGTTCATTTTTCAGAGTAAATATGACGGTGCTATTTTCAATTTTAAAAACACATCACATTTTAGGGGTGCTGGGTGGAATGCGTTCATGTCATTTTTATTGCTTCCAGTGGGGAAAGTTCATTAAAGTTGGGAAAGTGGTTTAAATTAAAAGTCGTCATATCTCAAGTCAGAACTGTCGTTGGTTAAGATGTAGTTTTTCTTTCTTCTATAAACTCGAGGTGGAACGTGTGCTAAATCTAATAAAACACCCAGAAAGTAAAAAGTGAACATGAAGGAATGACGTCAACGTATTCCCAGTCACGTCACGTTAATCCACAGCCAAAAATCTTCGCACATTCCTTCTTTGGTCGTCACACAACATCTACTTTCAAAGGAGACAAAGTATGTAAAAACTCAGAACACTTACCTTGTTCTGACACCCAAGTTCTAGCAGAGTCACAATAACATGTATTAGAGCTAAATGTCCTTTTTTTATCCACAGAAAAAGAAGAGGTACCGACAGCTAAACTGTCGGTCGGGAGGTTCGCTTACTTTCCTTCTCTTCACTCAAACATCTTTACAACAGCTGTGAGGAATTCTCGTTTGCTTTTCGCAATAACATTTAGACATTCGATCCAAATCACAATCCGCCTCCCCAAATCGACGCTTGCACACATGGAAGCAAATACTTTTGGGTACTTTTTTATTTATTTATTTGCTATCATGTCAATGCAATGTCAAGCGTTGATTCTATATGTATATGAGAGTGGCTGCCTTTACAGCAGCTCCTACATTTTGTTCTTCTACTTCTTCCTTTCATAACTTTGCTGCTGTGGATTGGGAATTTCTCCTTTGTGGGATTAATAAAGGTTTTCTTATTTTATCTGATATACAGGCTCAGAGTGTATTTTATTATGACATTGATTATGAGCAAAGAGATTCATTCAATTGGGAAATAAAAGTTTCTGAATGGTGCTTGGTGGTTAACTCATTAGCAGCATTTGCATAATCTGATGATATATACCGTGTATATATATATATATATATATATATATATATATATACACACACACACACACACACACACACACACACACACACACACACAAAGTAACAAACCCAAACTGATTGACAAACTGAAACTTTACTTCCTGGAGGTGTCACACTACTTTTGGGGCATACAGTGTGTATTGCTCGTATCAATCAAACAATTAAAAAAAAAAAACACACAGTTGCTACTCTGACAAATAATGCAAACATTTATTTGTCCAATTGTTTGGAATGTAAAGTCCAAATGATCTGCAACAACACAGAAAAGGTGAATCTGGACATCCACCAGAAAGTACAAACTACTGTAGTTTTTTTCCCCTCTCTTTAAATCACTTAACACGTTTTAAGGCTGAATTGCTGCTTTTCCATCTTTCATATTGGCAACATTACATAAGCAGGTTTGAAAACAAACAAAAACAAAGTAAAATATGACAAAAAAACATCACTGATTTGACTGCAATTTGCCATTTTACCCTCCTGACAGACGTTTTTCCCATGGAAAAATGTACATCTTCATGTGAAAGCGTTTTTTCTTTTCATTTTTTTAATAAAAAAAAACAACATATAACACCATCTTGTTACTATTACATCATAAAGTCATGTTTTGTGTTACTTTTACATTTCAGTGCAAGATGTTTTATTTAATCATACCCAGTGCTGCAGCATCCTCTCATTCACCAGATCACGAAAGTCCATTTGTGTTACTCGCTACAGCGGAACCTCCAAAAGTCTGAACAATTTGCGACTTTCAAGCATTGTCCCGCATGGTTTCGCCAACTCCTGCATAACTTCAGTCCTCATGGAAATAACATATAGCGGGAAGTTATCTCATGACAAGGTAATAAATAATCACGCTCAAATTTCAGATTGTCCTTGATGGCATCGCTAGTGTTAAACGAGCGAGATTTTAACTTGGAATATTCTCTTGATTGTTTTGTGAGGAAAAACGGATTATCAGACCATCCCTGAAGGAGACAAAAAGACAGTGACAAGAAGCCTTTGCGCACAAATCAATTTTCCCCAAACAGTTGCGAATGTAAATAGCATGTAGCGAGAAGAAAAATGGCTGTGAAATGCCTAGCATGAAACTGAGCGGGGAATTTGGTGAGTAGTTTGACTCCATTTTAAATTTATATTTACAGTTAACTTTTTACACTTTGTAAACCCCCTGGCACTGCACACTTTTTTTTTCCTTTTTGGGGTTGGGGGGGGGGCGGGGGTGAGGGTAGTAACAGTTTGACCCTGGGTCACACAATTTCACACAGAAGCATTTGTTTTGAAACCCGATCAAGTCAAGCACAGAACGGGTTGAGTTCCACTTTGGAGGTTACTCTGGGACTGACAATTAAAGAGTGAGCCCTATTAAGTGTGTGTGTGTGTGTGTGTGTGTGTGTGTGTGTGTGTGTGTGTGTGTGTGTGTGTGTGTGTGTGTGTGTGTGTGTGCGTGAGGATGCTGCAGCCATTTTGTAGCGTCACCCATACAACGAGAAGAGCGGTCGTCACGACCAGCCTGTATTTTAAAAGAGACGAAGGAAACACTTGAGGTCTTGGCTCCTCCTTGTCGGGGAGGGGTGTCCAGTGTTACCCTGTATGAAAGCGAGCGGCATACTCCGCAAACGTTCACGCGCAAGCGCACGCACACACGACATTAAAGAGAGACACAGTCACGGTGTGTACTGTATGTGTGGCGCAGATCAAGAAAGGACAGAGGAGATCAAGAAAGGATACTGCTGCACTGTCCCGTGTTGAAAAAAACAATTTTCATAGAAATATATTAAAACTATATACAATATGATCGAACAACACACACACACACGCACACACACACACACACACACACACACACACACACACACACACACACACACACACGACACAAAATGGGACTTTGACCACTAAAGACCACAAGCCAGAAAACCTTCACATTATTTCCCAGCCTTTTTCCAAACCTGCCTTTCCATACTGAGACATCGCGCTCACGTTTTGATTCAATGCCGAGACGCTGTAGGTTAAGTTTCAACCGAATGCTGAGATGCTCTTTCCGTTTCAAACAAATACTGAGGCATTGTCTTCACACTTTGGTTGAACGCCGAGAGCCTGTCTTCACATTTGAACCAAATGTGACATTGTCGTCACGTTTTGACTGCATGCGGAGAGACATTGATGCTTCGACCGCATGCTGAAATGTTACCGCCGCGTTGTAACTGAATACTATGACACTGCCTCCAGGTTTTAAATGAATAGCGAGTTGCTGAACACGGAGAATTTTGTCTTCAATTGAGTGCTGAGACATTCTCTTCAGGGTTCAACTCCATACAAAAATATTGTCTTCACGTTTTGACTGAATGCCGAGACATTTTCCTCAACGTCATGCCAAGAGATTGTCTTCACCTGAACACTTATGCATTGTCCTTAACCTTCAGCCAAATGCTGAGACATGGCCATCCTCTTTTTGACCGAATGCGGAGATGCAGTCTTCAGGTTTAGGTTACTCCTGAGACACCGTCTTCACATTTTGCCTGAATGTTGAGACATCGTCTCTATGTTTGGGCTGAGACACTATCTTCAAGTTTCAACTGAAAGCGTAGATATCGTGTTTACGTTTCAATTTAACGGTGAGACGCAGTCTTCACATTTTTGACGGAATGCCGACGCATTGTCTTCACGTTTGGCCTGTGGGCTGGGACGTTTGTCTTCAAGTTTCAAGTGAAAGTTGAGACACTGTCTTCACATTTTGACCGAATGCTGAAACATGGTTTTCAGGTTTCAACCGAATGCTGAGACATTCTCGTGTGTGTGTGTGTGTGTTTAGGAACCCTGGATGATACACTCGTGGTGGTTGAAGAAGGGAGGGGTGGGGGGGGGGCAAACTTTACAAAAGTGGAGGGGAAAAAAGGCACTGTTAGAACACACACGCACAAGCTTACTTGTGACTTGGTCTCATCACCAGCATGAGAAAAAAAAAATCAACATTTCAAAAAACACCCCAAAAAAACAACACCCCCCCCCCACCCACCCACCCACAAACAAATAGATCATCTTTTTTTTTCTTTGCTGTACATTTAATTTGTACACAGTGCCCCCTTCAGGTCAGTCTGTTGCGCTGCCGCTCCTGAGAAAGAAAAGCCCACCCTGAAGTCCAACGGCGGCCCCCTTCCCTCGCCCCCACCTACCGGCCGCCGGGCCTCACCCTTCACGCCTCCGAGTAGTTAGTGTGTGGGTTGATTTTGTCCTTCTTCAGCTTGACACCGTCCACCAGCTCAAAGTTATAATTCTCTAAGGCCGACAGGTTCCTGTCGGCCATCGGGGCGTGCGAGCAGGCGCAGTACAGCACCACGCTGCACACGGCGCCCACAAAAACGCCCAGCGCCGACATGGCGATGATGGTGATCAGGATGGGGTCCAACGTCTTCAGCATGTTGTCTGCCGCGCCCACGCCTCCCACTTCACCAATCCCCTCTGAGAGCGAGTCTATCGCTTAAAAAAAAAAATGGAGATAGCGTCACAATGAGGACATAAGGAAATAGTGGGCAGAAAAAAAAAGGCCCGAGTTGTTCACGGAAACCTACAGTTTCGGACAGTCCCTGAAGGCAACACCTGACTTCCGAACATTTCTTGTTTGACTTGAGCTAGATTTTTTTTTTTCCATGAAGGTAACACTAAATTGCTGGACAGAGAATTGAAGTCAACATTTAATCACATGTCGACGAATTAGCTCGTTTTGTCAAGAAAGCCCCTGAAGGCAAAACTTAAAATAAAAGCATTTCAAGACATTGAGGAAAAAAATCACTGCCTTTTTGGGGGGGAGGCAGTGAAGGCAACACCAAGAAGGCAATTCAAATAAAAGAGCAAATGCCCCTTTTTACTTCAAATAGTTGCTGACTGTCCTGTAAATGCATCCGGGCAGGTTGCTTCCAGTGATCATGAAATCAAGATGAAGCAGCATATGGCTCATTTACTCCGCCATTATTGTTAATGAACAAAACAGCAGCACCTAACCGGGAGGCATGTAAAAAAACATCAGTTTAATTCAAGTGTGGAGTGTTACCACATCTTACGTAGTGGCAAAAAAACAAATGATCATAGATGCCTTCCCCCTCTGCAGTTGAGTAAATAAAGCCACTACCACTGGTGCAAACGCGGAATTAAATCGATATAAACGTACGTAGGATGATGATCTGCGTGGGTGGAGATGGAGGAACCTCTGGATCTAAAAGGAGGAACGCAAGCGGTTAGGAAGCGGACAAAACAAATGCCGTGTCTGTGTTGAAAATGGAGGTTGCCATCCAAACCTTTGCAGTGGTCGGCGTTGAGTGCATCTAAAATGCGGATGTCGTCCACGGCCATGTGGCCTGTGCTGAGTCTGTCCGCCACGCCCTCCACCACCACCTGCAAACGTTTTATTCCAAAATGTCAAAATGGGATTTTGGACGGTCCCTGAAGGCAGCACTGGATTTACAAACATCCAATGACGACATTGTATATATTCACAACTCATTGTATATATACAATGAGTTGGTGGGTCTGTGGGGAAAAGTTGTCATTTCAGACTGTCAGTGAAGGCAACGCCAAGATGAGCTCCTGTATATATCACGGGTCAGTTGTGTGGGGAAAAATTAACATTTCAGACAGTCCATGAGGGATAACACCTGACTTGGAGACACAGACGAATCGTTGAACTGAACATTTCAGTATTAGAACAAATATCAGACTTTTAGAAAAATCATGGGGTAGCTGTGCAAGGAAAGCTTTGATTTAAGACTGTCACAGGAATTCAACACTAGACTTACAGTAGATCGAGAGCAATAAATGAACAGCTAATGACTTGTTGGATTAAGAGCGCTTTGATTATTGACTGTTCCACCGTTGCATAACATCTAACTTCAAAACATTTGCAACAACTTTGCAGTTGTTTAGCGAGGAAAGACGGTCATTGTTGGCCATCTGTGAACAGATATTAAATAGAAACATTCCGTGATCATCGAGATAACTATTACGTAATCAAAGCTACAATTTCAGACTGTCACTAAAGTCAACAGTAGTCATAGTCATAGCCAGATGGGGAAAAATGTGAAGGACATCGGGAACAATGACACACTGCTGCGTGAGGAAAATAGTGTGATTTGTTTGAGAATGTCATTGAAGGTGAAACAGAGACTAGCAATCTAAAGAGATGATTTAACAGTTTCTTTAAAGAGATTTAGAAAAATCAGCCCGTTGTATAAAGAAAGAGACGATTTTAGGAATGTCCCCGAAGGCAACAGTTGATTTAGAAATACAGGACATTTGAAACAGTCGCTCAGTTGTTTCACTTGTCAGTAAAGCCGCTATTTTAAATTGTAGATGAAAGAAGCACTTAACCCGACAGATGGGAATTACGAGCTTTTAGACGGATGGATTTATCCTTTTTAGTTTAATTTGACTATTAATCTGAAAATTGCCACAACCACCAGGTTACTGTGCCAGAAAAAAAGGAATCATGATTTCAGACTCTCCTTGAAGGCAACACAAGGCTGAGATAGACGGACAGATAAATTGATCGATCTTGAGACTTACTCGATAAGGTCGACTGGATCTGGGTAGTAAAACTCGTCCCTCCCTCCATCGCGCCCCCTGGTGGCCGCTAACTGTCCACAGGATGTTCCCCAGCCCCTGTTCCTCTTCCTCTTGCTGTCTGATGTGGAGCACACCGGGGTGCTGGCCCAACATGTGGTACCAGAAGGACACGCACAGGTCGGCATGAGGCGCCGTCACGGGCAGACTGGACAGCCGGGCCACTCTCTCCGTGTCCTCTTCGTCCTTTTCGGCATTTCTTAACGGAGAGGCGGTCAGATGCATCAGGATGAAGTTACCCGTGCGGCCTGCAGGGGGCAGCACAGAACAACAGATTGAGGAGGCAGTCAGGGATTGTGGACTCAAGTCTTGGGACGCCAAAGGCACTTTCAAAATGTGGACAAAAAGTACTGGGATAACTCCAGACAGTGAAACAGATAAAGCGCTCACCAGTCGACCAACGAGACTTTCAAGTTTTAATATGAGTTTACACACAATCAAATATTGTTCTTTTCAATTTTCTGTTCAGATTTGTCCGCAGCAGTTTGTTCCTCCTGAGCTGCCGTTTTCAAAAAGCTTCTTGCCGCTTCTTGAGAGAGCCAAAAGCAACAATGACAAGAATGCCAAGCGCATGTGTTACCCGTGTGGTCCAGCGTCGGCGCTCTGCGTGCGGCCGGAGCTCCAGCGCCTGTCTGGATCAGCCACTCGGCACCCGAGCCCACTTCCGTGGTCCAGCCGCAGAAGGAGGCGAAGTCGAAGTTACAGGCAAACCACAAGTAGTCTGCAAGCCACAAGAACAACAAGCGGTTACGACGTGGACGCTGACACTGAGAAGCCAGCGCAAATGTTGGGTTTGATGGACACAAAGGCTCGAGGACACACATGATGCTCACTGGACACTCCATTAGATACACCAGCTGCATCAAAATATAAAGAAAAAAAATGGTTTTGCAATCAATAAATAATTTTGATGAAGCGTGATTTTAATTCCAGCCATCCATTTTCTAATCCGTTTATCCTCACTAGGGTCTTCGGGCACTAGGCTACCCTGAACTGGTTGCCAGCCAATCACAGGGCAAACTTCGGGCACTAGGCTACCCTGAACCGGTTGCCAGCCAATCACAGGGCACACATTGACGAACAATCATATGCTCTCACAATGAAACCGAAGGACAATTTATAGTGTTCAATTAACCTGCCACGCATGTTTTTGGAATGTGGGAGGAAACCGGAGTACCCGGAGAAAACCCACACGGGCACGGGGAGAACATGCAAACTCCACACAGGAAGGCCAGTGCCTGAATCGAACCCTGCACCTCTGCAATGCGAGGCCGACATGCTTGCCAGTTGCCCACCGTGCTGCCTGCGTGATTTTACTATCAGTCAAAATAATCATGTGTTTTTTTTTTCATAATCGTCCAGCCCTAACAGACAGACAGGCAGACAATGTTTAGTCAATGGTGTTCAAGTGCTCCACAGCTTTTCCATGTTTACGGTTGTGATGGGAAAGGTCTTTTTGTCACATAATGTTCAGAGGCAGAGGGGAAGTAAGAGGGAGGGTGTCATAGGAAAAACTAAATCCTTCTGCAGATGCAAAACAGAGAGGCGATGAGAGCGGAGACGCTCCATGAAAGATTGAAGTAAGATGGACACACGTGACATACACGTGAAATTGTCATGCTAATAACATGAATGCTTAACTCTTTTTTTTTTTTTTTGCCCAAGTCAGATTTTTATTTCCAGGAAATTATTCTCCATAGTCAAATGCAGATGTTACGAAAGTGCCCGTTTCAAAGACACAAAATGAGTGCGACAGTCATGCTATCAGCGTGACGATATGACACATGATGATACAAGTGACATACAAATATCGAATTCATTATGAATTAACGACTGCATACAAACTAATTTGAGTTGTATCACCGTCATAGTAATGCAACTCTTGTTAAGAATAAATTGGCACGGTGGACCACTGGTTAGTACGTCCGCCTCAAAGTGCAGAGGTTATGGGTTCCTGGCCTTCTTTTGTGGAGTTTCCATGCTCTCCCCGTGCCTGCGTGGGTTTTCTTCGGGTACTCAGATTTCCTCCCACATTCCAAAAACATGCACGGTAGGTTCATAGATCACTCTAAATTGTCTAGAGGTGCGATTGCGAGTGTGAATGGTTGTTTGTCTATGTGTGCCCTCCGATTGGCTGGCAAGCGGTTCAGGGTGCCCGCAATCAGCTGGGATTGACTCCAGCACATCCGCGACCCTCGTGAGGATAAAGCGGTTGGATGGATGGATTTGGGTTTTTTCCCCCTATGGATCATAATCGTGCAAATCTCATCATTTAATCATATTTTTTCAGATTTCCTTTTCAAGGAAAAAGGTTGTAAAAGTGAGAGTTGTGTATTTTTTTTGAGGGACAAAACAAATAATTTCAGCATAATTAAAGCAAGCGGCGTAAGAATCTGTGCTCGTGCAGTACAGGAGGCTATGCTCAATTTCCAGACAATTTACTATTTTTCATTGGATTGTTTTATATCTTTGTCTGAAACTTGTTTTTTTTTTTCCCAAACAAATATTTCAGGTAATTGTGACTTGACCAGTACACTTGATTGATTATGGCGCATTACCACCAGCATACAAATACGTGTTACATACTGCGGGTCGGAACACAACTCTGACATCAAGCCAGGACAACGTGCAGACAGCCAAAAACATTCTTCTGTACATTTGTTGCCATTTTAAAGGCGTTTTGTTTGCTCAGAATATGCAGGGATGAGCTGCTCAAGTCCTGCTGAATCCGGGCTGCTGTCTTGCGGAGAGCTTGGGGCTAGCTCTAATTGATACCCAGGAGGCTTTCATCCAGCTCTTAAGGAGAAAAAAAAAACCTCACAGCTTTTCTCTTGTCTTTTGCATTTTGCTCACCTCTTCCATCTTTCTTACTCTTTTGTTGTTCAAGCTTTCAACATCCAAAAGAAGCAAGGGTTGAACTCAGGGACGTCCCTAGGGTTTCCCCAACTTCCTGTTAGTATTGTTTGTGTCCCATTGGGACACTTTGAGCATGTTGCGTGTTGATAACCCAAAGGACTTCATCACAACCGAAACCAAAATGCTGTCTTTTTATCAGACTCTTTAATAGTGTGTGTGTTTTTATTTTTATTTTATTTTATTTTTTTTTAAGTACGTTTTTTGGGTCGAGAAATGTCAGGTTGGATTTTACACGGTGCTGGTGCAAACCACTTTTTTCTGCATATTTTTTATCTTTAAAAAAAAAAAAAAATTCAAAAGTTAAGACATAAAAGTTTGGCCAGCCCTGCTCTTAATGACATGGAACAGTTCAATCCAAACATCAAGATGGAGGAGAAGGCGGCAGGAAGCTGACCTGGTATGAAGTCCACCACGGGGTCAGCGGGCGTGACGCCTCCTGCTTCATGCACATGGAACGCACAAGAAAGACACCGTTAAGTGTCAGCGCTTTGTAATATTTTAAAAACCATGGATTTTTCTTCCAGTGAATAGACATACAATAAGTAACCTTCTCGAAAATAAACGGAAATAATCCATGAAGATTGACATAATTTTCTAGAATGAAAAAGGATTTTCTCTGGAAAAATAGTTTTTTTCCTTGATAAAAATGATTTTAATTAAAAAAATTAAAAAATAAAATCCCAGCTTTCTTTCCAAAAATATTAAGAAATTCTAAAAAAACTATTTTTTTAACTCTCCCAAGCACTTTTTTCCCTCATAAAGATGTCTCCTCAGAAAATTGGAAATGTTTAAAGAAAAAAATTATCATCATCACTTCCCCCCCCAAAAAAAATCCTTTCAAAAATGTGATTTTTTTTTCTAAAAATATATATTTTTCTAAAACCATACTTGTCCATTTTTTAATCTTTTTTTCTTCAAACAAGACAACTTCTCTGTATTTTTTAAGAAAAAAAAATGTATGGCATTTTTTATCTGAAAATAATTGTATTTAAAAAGAAGATTTACTATGGCAATATTTGGTGACTTGGCATTTTCAATAGTGCTTCCTCGGTTGAGCTCGAATCTGTCCCAGCTGACTTAAAGCCAGAGGCAGGGATACACACTGAATTGATCGCAAGCCAATGACATGAAACAAATTTACAATTAAAAAAAAAAAAAAGCTGACCTGTTGCAGAGTCATAGACATCGGGATGGTCTGTGTCGGTGTTGGCAGACGGCGTGGTGACGGGCACCGTTTGGGCCGACACTATGGTCGCTCCAAATGTGGTGGAGGGAAGTGTGGCGGTGACCGGTGTGGTGGGCAAGGCCGTGGTCGTGATTTCTGAAGAGAAAACAACAAAAAAGTCAGACACAATTTATCTTGATGCCTATGAAGCCTAAAATTGTTCACCGAAAGAATTATCAGCTGTGATATGACAAAAACATGAAATATCGCCTTGAAAAACCTTTTGCCACACTTAAGAAGAACTTAGCGAAGATAGGCTATCATTGGCTAACACAGCTCAAAAAGGCTAACACGGGCTAAAACACAAGACAGCCTTTCGCAACAATGAAATTTGTGTGCATCCATGTTTACGCACCATCCAGTTCACAGCCTAGCAGCTCCAGTCGTAGGCCCACCCCCTCCATGGTGGCCCTCTCCGGGTAGATTCGGATGAAACGGGTTTGCAGAGGACCCACCGACCTCAGCTCAGGTGTGTCGTGATTCTGATTGCCAGAGAAGATCTAAGAACCACAGGAGAGACTCCCACTAATTAACCAGAGATTTCATTACTGATAATTCACTCAGCTTTTGCGGAAGAAACGGTGTATAATGCCTGTCGGGATTTTGAAGGGGATATGGATCGTAAAAATCTTGCAAAACGCTGCCTTAAACTGTTGATTGGTGTAGAATTACAGTAAAATAAACTGAAAAAAAATGACTTGTCTGGAAGGGGTGCGCCATCATTAGGATGTTGGGGACAATTGTGTAACTTATAAAGTTTGGGAAAGGCTACCTTAAAGTACTTACTAGTACAGAACATATTAGTGGATAGTCAGTATGAGGGAGGAACATCCAGTTCACAGTCTACCAGCGGGAGTGAGACACCTAAGACCCCCTACAGTGCATCCCCTCTCGGCGCCGCCATCTGGAAGGCATGGAGCAGGATGTGGTTCCAGAAGGGCGGGCTCAGGAGATGAAGTGGAGTGTGCAAAGCAATGATATAGATTTCCTCTCTTGGGTAAGAATGAAAGCAACTCCATAGACCCCAGGGCCTTTTTCAGGGGTCTTATTCAATATAATGTGCTCATTCTACATTCCAAACACAAAGTGCACCTGTCAATCAAGTTATGTACACACCTCATTCTAGAACAGAAACCACTATGGTGTACAGTTGCAAGAACAACCATGTTTTGACCTCAAGAAAGACTAACAGCAGGCCGACGGGCACGAAAACGCAGATAAGCGATGTTAACGCTGTTTGGAAATATTAAAACAAACAGATATATGTGACTCAACTGTAAGACAAGAGGCTAAAACACAGCCAGGCGAGGCTAAGATGAGGCCTAGACGGGGTAAAACAAAGCTAAGATAAGCGGAGCATGAGGCTAACAATCTAAAACAAAGCTAAAGATATTAAAGCAGACAAAAACTACAGATAAAACAGATTAAACTGTAAAACAGAAGCTAAAATGAGGCTAAAACACAGGTAAGAGATGCTAACACAAGGTTAATATGGTAAAGGTTAAAACACAGCTAAAGATTCTGAAACAGACAAACGCAGCAGATAAAACTTATTAGTAGATTAAAGTAAAGACAGGCAAAAACACAGCAAGGAGAGGTGGCCCCGAGGTTAATATGAGTTGAAGATGGTAAGACGGAAGCTAACAAAAAAATGTAACACAGCTAAAGATTCTGAAACAGACAAACGCAGCAGATAAAACTTATTAGTAGATTAAAGTAAAGACAGGCAAAAACACAGCAAGGAGAGGTGGCCCCGAGGTTAATATGAGTTGAAGATGGTAAGACGGAAGCTAACAAAAAAATGTAACACAGCTAAAGATACTAAATTACACAAATCATGCAAATAACACAGATTAAATTAAAGATAGAAACTAGGATGCTAAAACACATCTAAGAGAGATGAACATTTTATTTTACACAGTTAACATTTTAGTTCGACAGAGCAGAGCGTCACTGAGAGCTCATTTCTCCACAATCATCACTTGTTATCATTTTACCTCGTGCATCTAAAGCTCAATTCCTGACATTTTCCTCTCACAAGTCTTTGTCTTTACTCGCATGGAAGAAGACATTGTGAGACATTAAAAACACATTCCCAGAAACACAGCTTACATGACTTGAACCACGTCTCTGGACTCGAGTCTATGTGCCATTAATAATAGACGTTTGTTTCACATCAACCAACTCTAATCTAAAATTGACTCCCTCTTGGCATTAGCGTAGCACTGCTGCTTAAAAAAAACATGAAAGATGAAGAGATGATTAAGGGACCAAGGGAAACAAAACTACTAAGTGCTCTTGAAGGTAAACCAGAGTTATTCAATGTCAACTTTACCATCGCCGACTTCGGAAATGTCAGTCCAAAAAATGTTTGAAATGAGACACCGACAGGTTTGGAGCTAAAACACAACTAAAAAAAACACATCATTGGCTAACACATGCTAACTGACGCTAACATCAGCTAAGAACAAAGCTAGATATGCAGATGAAACTGACTAACTAGTAGAAAGAGTGACGAGCTTAGGCTACAACACAGCGAAGAGAAGCTAATATGAGGTTAAAACAGAGCTAAAGATCCTAAAACAGAAAAACAGTGCAGATAAATGACAAAGGATAACATGGGCTAATGCGAAACGGACACAAGCACACTGTTTTCAGCTTTAGTGGACTGACCTTAGGCTTGGTGGTGTTTTCCTCGTTGACCAGGGTCCAGTCTTCTCCATCCAGACTGTGTCCCACCTTGAACTTCTTCATGAAGACATTCTTGTCATAGTGTTTGCCACCCTGAATCACCACGCCGGTGACCATCTTGTCCTGGCCCAGGTCCACCTGACAAAATGTTTTATATTACTGCTAACTCAATCAATCATAACCTTAACCATATCAACCCGAACCAAAAAAAAACAGACCTGACTCTTATCCCTAAACCCTAAACATAGTCAGGTAAGGTTTTCACCTGGAGCCATTCATTCCTGAAGGGCTGCTTGGTCTGTTGGCCGGTCCATCCCGACCTGCCCGTCAACAAACGGGCGTTCTCGGCCACCCAGCCTCGGTTGGCATAGGACGAGGCGCTGATCTGACCGTCCGAGATCTGACCGGACACCATGCCCAACATTCCTGAACATGGGTGGTCTGAATAGGGAAGAAAATTGAGGAATTCTTGAATTGGACTGTCTGGGGCACAGACATCATATATAATAGACACTTCCTCGAGTGGGTTGGCTCATTGCTGCAACACACAACTGTAAAAACTCCTAAATTGTGGCATTCGTAAGTCAAAGGTACCACTGTATGATTTCTATGGTCGGTCTGAATCGAGAGTATCAATATGGTCGAGAACATGTTGCGAGTTGAAATGTCATCTCAGGGGCGTTTGAGTCTGTCGAACAGACTTGCTGGCTGTAGCATTCGAGGCCACTCGACCCAGAGGCTACGCTTCAATCTGTTCGACAGAGTGGACGCTTGGTTTTCCAGCAAATACACTCACACATCACTTTGGTGTGGCGTTTTTCCATTTGAGAGAGATGAGAAAACTGGCAAATGGATGACCTGAGGTTCGACAGCCGTAGAGCTCGAAGCGCATGCAGATGCCTTGTTCCCAGGACATGGGCCGGATGCGAATGTAGCGGGCCAAAGTCGGCTTGGGCAGTAAGGAGCGAGCCTCGTCTGTCGGGTTGTGGTTCCCTTGGAAGATCTGAAAATGAGATGGAAGCAATGTTATTTATCCCCGATGGTTAAAAAGTGTAGGCAAATTTTTGGGGCGGTAGGGAATTTGGCGTTAGCCTTCAATCTGATAAACGTCATTCTGTGTTGGTAGCAATTAGGAAAAAAAAAAAAACTTGTACATGTTTGTCTTTGAAGGACCCCTGGAAACAACCAAAATGAGCCTTGAATGCCCACTTTGAAAAAAGATGACTGGCTTCTTGTTTGTTTCTCAACATGACTTCTAACTTTTTTGTGGGGCTAATGTTGATGTGGTTTGTTTGCTAAATTTCATGTTGCCAAGTAAAAATAGCTTCTAAAAATCAATTATTAGAGTTTTGTGTTTAATAATCATCAAAACTGGGCGGCAAACTTTTTTTGTATGTCCTAGTTTTCGTACGATGTGCTTTTCAATGAGTTTTTTTCTTATTTTTGCTGAAATTTTGTCCCACTTTTCATACATCCGCGTTAGTTTTGTGCAAAAAACACTGCATAACTCGGCTGTTTATTTCCCAGAATCGATGAGCGTTCAGCCAAAGCATTTTGTAAATTGTGTGAAAGGGTTCAACATACGTCAAATTCCACACTGAAGCTTTTATTCACAAAACAAGGTAATGTCAAGCCTCCCAGTTTGCTCTGCAACACTCAAGCAACATCTGCCCAACACCTTGTCAAAGGTCAGACCTTCAAAATAAAAGCAATATACAATAAATATTATAGACAACCAAATTTGTCAACATTAATACCCATAGAGTTATTATTAATGTTCATTCTGTTGTTTTTAAGATTGTATTTGGATTTTGGGAGTATTTTGCTTTTCTTTTACATTGTCATTGTTGTCGTCGCCTTATATCAGCCATGTTCCTTAAGGCGGGGGGATGGGCGAGGGGGCGCATTTACATTTTAAGTTCATTCATCTACACTATCTATAACAAATAAAGAGAAGGAAAAAAGTTTCATCACACTATTGGATCACATGATGGCTTATTTAACAGTTGCACTCAATAAACAAGCAAAAAATAGCGTGTGGCTGCTAAACCACCACACGGCCCCCCCCAAAAAAAGAGAATGGTGAAACTGTTGTACTGATACGCCTTTATTTTAAAGGCCTGACTTTTGACAGGACGTGACGCCGACGTTGCCACAATTTGTCTCAGTGTGACAAATCAAACAGGGAGGCCTGATATTGCCTTGAGTCTCTTGGTTTTGTTTTTAAAGCTACAGTTACTCTCTATTAAATGTATTTTTGTTACAATTTTGGCTGTGTGGAACAGATACATTCAAATTTACATTTACATGGGATTTTGTACAATGTGGTTTTAGTCAGACCTTCTGGAAGGGACAACTCATGAAAACTGAGGTTCCACTCTCCAAAAAAAAAAAAAAGACTTGAGTGAATGTTGACCTTCTGTTTAGAGCCGTCCTTCACTGTCACCCAGTCCTCGCCGTTGGAGCTCAGATCGACCTTGTAGGAGCGGACAAAGTAGTGCTTCTTGGTCTCTTTCGAGATGGCTCCTTGTGTGCTGATGGCCGTGATGAACCTCAGGAAGCCCAAATCCACCTAAAGAAGAACAGCAACGGTAATTGCCCGAGAGATTCTATCCGAGCACGACATTCATTTGAACCACACAGATGGACAGTGCTTAATTGCCAAACATTTGCGTTTCGGTCATCGTTTGTGGGAGGAAGATGGCAGCCAAGTTTGACAAATCACCATGCAACATGAAATTCTATTAAGATAATGCCGACCTGAAGGCGCCCCCCTGCTGGCAGAAATGTAAATGCCATAAGGCTTGGTGATGTAGTTGTGATGCAGTGAGTGTGTGCTCGTGCATGTGTGTGTCACATAAGAGCAATGTGCGGGAGTTTGTCGCCCGCTACAACTGTACATGCATGCGTGGGAACCAACTCTGCAGCAATTATACGGCTGTCTGCACGCATCACTAATGACTAGTGCCTGACCTCTACCACGTGTTGTTGTTTTGTATGCATTTGAATATGTGTGTGTGCGTGTGTGTGTATACTAAGAGCTTTTGTTGTATCAACTTTACTTGGCAGTGAGCAAAATAAGGGCATTTATTTTATAACGCCATCGCTCCCACAGTGCATGCAATTGTGTGTATTTGTGCGTGTCAACACACGGAAAACAAGTATGTCCTGTTAAAATAAATGGCTCACAAGAGAAAAATGACATCAGAGCGACTCCAGGCTACATTTTTATTGCACACGGAATGAAAATGTGATCTTAGAAGACCGCCAGATATGCTGGAGATGTTTTATCTACTCGGATTAGAAGAGAGAGATATTTATCATCAAAGACGACGTATGAAATATGCAATATCGGTTGCGTGCGGAAAATGGTAGAACTTATCTGAAATGAGGAATATTTCACGAGGTCGAGAATGCGGGCTTCCCAACGCCCGTCTTATCGCTGAACATTTCCTCAGATGCTGTTCACGCTTGCGCTGAAGCTAATCTATTTTCCGACTTGACATGTGCATCGTACTGTCGAACCGCAAGAGTCTCCAAAATGTACTTTGTCATTGTTATATCTTACAAACGCCGCGTTTCGGATGGAAATACATGCTGTTTTCAGTCATCCAAGTTTGGTGGCGTCCAGCAACTCAACATTTGGAGTGTTGCTCATCTGTCAAGGATAAGATAAGAACTTCAAATTTGGTAGCAGTTGGATAAAATCTCCAGTACTTTTAGACAGGGCTCTGGCCTCCCTTCATTTCAGCATAGTGCCCGAGTTAAAAAAGGAAAATAATCTGAAGGAAGAGTTAGTCTTTGAAGGAGCCCTGGAAGTTGTCCAAAATTCCCCTAAAACGGCGTTTTAATGCAATTTAAATGAGAGCCTTCCTCTGTCTTTGGGTGTGGCTTCTTGCGACTTTTTTTGTGGGTTTGTCGACTAACATACTTGTCGCTAAGTGAAATGGGCTCAGGCAGCTGAATTAAAATAAATAAATACCGGTAAATAAATTTAGTGAATGGTAGGTCTTCAATTTGATCAAAGTGGTCTTCAAAAAAGGTTTTATAAGCGGCTCCCTGAGAGGGACAGCAACATCTTCCTCTGGCCGCCAGCTGTTGCGGTCGTTATTTCGCATTTCAGTACGGTAGTAGGTCGGAACTACATTCCGAACAGTTCCTGCACCCATCGAGCCAGTGAGGCTAATTGATCTTCCATCTTTCAAACCCTTGGCAACGTCGCGGCTCACGTACGCACTCTCAAGTAGCGCAGGATACAGGCGGCTCTTGCTAGCAGCATGCCTAATGGAACGGAAAAAAACCAAAACAAAACAATGCTTTTCTTCCTGCCAAAACAGGATGCTGCCTCTGGTGATAGGGAGAGAAAAAGCTTTAGTTTGAAGAAGACCCGCAATTCTAGACGACACTTTGTAGCTGAACACATCACTTTCAGGCTATTTCAACACTTAATGTAAATCATTTTATATTTTTCATATTTGTGGGCTTAGTATGGTTTTCCTTCCTTCTGATTTTCATCGGACATGTAACGTAGATTGGTACCTCTACTTACGAACGTCTTTTCATACGAATTTGTCAAGTTACGAAACGCCTCAACAGGAAAATATTGCCTTTTGTTACAAAAGACATTTCAAGATACAAAAGTTAAAAAATAAAGTATGGGCTGCTACTCGCAGCTCTGAGTTTCCTGAACGTAACATACTTAGAGCTGCTCTATCATTGGCTACTACCTAGCATCTTCCTGGCATCCTATTCGCTAAGAGGGACTTCTACCGTACGTGTCTATGTGTGTAGATAGATAAATGTGTCTATGCAGCGACCTCGTCAATCGCCCCTCGGGCCATGAGGTGTTCCGATAGTTTTACGTAAATGTGAATCATCCAGTGTTCACCTGTCGGGCAGTCGCTCACTATGCTGTTTGCCTTGGACATCTTCGAAGGATTGTTAAAATCCGACAAAAGCAAACGTCCTTGGATCAGTTCTTTACAAAATACCAGGCAAAAACCACTTCTGAGAGAGAACATGAAGTTAAAAGTTAAATGACCATCATTTTTATTTTCATCTTTACTCTATTCTTTGTTTTTTCCTTTCCGCACATCTCACATTTATTGTACAATAATCTAATTGTAACATGTATTTGTTACATATTTTGATGCATTTTTATGCTTAAGAAAACATGCATGTCTGAATTTTGGGGGGCGTGGAACGGATTAGGGCATTTACATGGAAAACGCGTCTCTCCTTACAAAATTTTCTAGTTAAGAAATTTCTTCCAGAACCAATTAATTTCTTAACTGTATCATAATGTCATTCTCTTAATGGAAATATCGCTAAATATGGTTACTCACAATAATATAGTATGCAGTTTGATGGCAAATTTTAGTCTGTTAAATTGTTGATAAAATAAAAATGTTAATCAGTTGAGTATCGTGTTTACTGGGGTCAGAACGGTACACTAGACGGGACATTTGGGCCACGTTTTTTCGGTGTGGTCCATTCATGTTCTATTTCAATAACTATTCAAATGTAACAGTCGGATTAAGCATGGCTTAAATGGTCATGCCTGCAGGGTGGCGGAGAGGGGATGTACAACGGTTGCGCAAGTGGCATTTTGTATGGTTTCATTTGTTATACCAATTAACCATTCAAAAGAGTTGAGAAAGGGGACATTTCCTCCCCTTCTCCCCAGAGGAAGCACTTATGACATACTTATTTTATTTATTTCTGAATTGTGTGCAAGTTGATCCAAGTTCATTCAAGATACTTTTTGGACATTGACTCTCCACAGGCCGTGACACTTGACAATGTTCATGGGAGACTTTTTTTTTTTTTTTTTTTGGGTCGTTGAACTTTTCACAAGGCGGTGCACACACGAGGCCCAAACATATTCTCCAGATGGTAACATCTTCCTGATGGCGTCAAAGAGATCCTCAGGACGTCTATAAATACCTCTGGCAGTTCAGTGGGGGAAAGGAAGCCTTTCCTGGGCTTTCTTTGCATTGTGGCTACAATAGCAATGTAATTGTGCGATGCAAAAGATTCAAGCCTGGAGACTTTTTCAGACCTTAAAGGTCGCTTTGATCAAATGTAAGACCTCTCCCTAAATAATCCTTATCACTGTCACCTAATCGTTCAGTCCAGCATTTAAAGCCATGAGCTGAATTTTCGTTATTGTTCTTGATTTACAGAAAAGTGGGTTGCGACTTAATTACGAGAGGAAAACGTAGGTCGCAAGTTGACAACAGCTGTGAACCGCTGCTTAAAAACCTCCAAAGTCTCTCGAGTGGATCCGAGCTAAGAATTGCCCGTGTTGTTCAGCGAAGGGCACAACATGGCGGTCCTGGGCGACCACTCTTCATTCATCTTCCTTGAAGGGTAAAAGTTGCAATGGCCCGCTAACATGCTCTCCTCGCCTCACCCACAAACATGCGAATTATTCATGGAGCGCCATTCATGTTTTATGGAAACCAGTTCGGATGTAGCGGTCACAGTGTTGCGGTGATGTCACACTGACATCTTTAAACTGATGATCACATAGAACGGAGGAGTTGACCTCAATGTTTAAAAGCCTGCGCTGCGAACTCAAACTGTAACGTAGCAATGATGTCATTCATTTTTGCTTGTTTAAATGAAACAATGACAGTTCACAAAAAATGCATTTCATTTTCACAAAGTTCAAGCAGCGATCAAGTTCAGCGTGCTTTAATCTTGTGTTAGCTAACAAATGGGCATTGTTAAGAGTTTTAATTTCATTTTGGTTTCCAGCCGACCTGGATTAGCCACCAGTCAATCAGCATCTGATTCATGCTGGGTTTACACTGAACAATTTTCATACTTTCAGACTACAGTTTTTTTTTCTTCCTGGCTCAAATTGAGGCAGAGGCGGTACCGTCCTGACAATGTGCAATGACGTGCGTGTATTCTGTAAATTCAACTGACTCACTTACTTTGACAGGAAACACACTTTAAAACTCATTCAGTACCAGCCAGTTCTGGACCAAGTCTGAAAAGACGTTTAAAAACGTCTTTGGGAGTGAATGAGTTCAGAGTTCCAATTAGATTCTGACTATTACCATGTTAAAGCATTCGCTTTGCTTCCAATGACTTGAGTCGTCTTCAGCGATGTCACTTTCCATCAATTTAAAATGGAGCAAGCAAACGAGAGGGCTTTATAAATGTTTCAAAATGAAATGATGACACACGCAGAAAAAAGTCCAGCCCAATGCCCTGACAACGAGAAACAAACCTTTTAACCTCTCTGACTGTCCGCTTAATTCCCAGAGGGTCGTTCGAGCCCAGTAGCCCGTGAGAAGTCCCCAGACAGACAATAGAGCATCAGCACCACCGCTAATACTCTGCCCACGCCGACTTCCTGTCCACTTCCTGTTTCCTGCGCCATTGTGCGGCTTCCTCGATGAGTTCCTGTCTTGCACAATGGGAGCAGGCCTCGAGACAGCCTCCATCTCAGGGGCCGATCATCCTTAAAAATATCTGTCGGACCCTTTGGACCTGATGCCGTACCTAGCTGGACAGTCTCGCTAATATCCGGATGCATAAAAAAAAGTTAGATCTATTCAGGATATTATTCGGGGAACTAAATTACCTTTTGGGGTTCTTGAACATACCCAGTCGGTTGCCTGAGGCTTTACACTTTTCGGTCTTTCAATTTTCTAAGGATGACAGTAAGCTAACGTGCCACATGCTTGTAAACAGGGACGAGCGCAAGCGCAGACAATGCTTAGGCAAGCGGCTTCGCCATGAAAATTTCATGCAGATTTTCCGCTTTAACGTGCAGGAGAAATGCTGCAAATGAGTGAACAATGTTCAGGTTTCGCATCAACAATGTTCTCGCCGCATGTGAACAAAATCTCTACGGTGTTGTTTGGCTTCAAGCCGAGGACTGGCCAAAAAAATGACATCATTACTGTTGTCATTTTTTTTTTTTTTTTTTAGTTTGAATCCAGTTGGGAGGTGGAGAGCATCTGACGACTGAAAAGCTCACTTTGAGAGATGCTAGAGGATATTCTCGTTCATCCAGTTCATTGAATCGATGGCGAGCGATTTTGAGAGCCAAGCCCAATTTTGAAACCCTACCCAAATGTTCAACTTGACTAGACTAATTCTAATCTAACATCCTACCTTTGTCTTAATACTATAATTTAAAACCCTAAACCGGGTTTGAAACTTTCATCTCGGATTGAAACTGAAATCCTGTCTTGAAACCCTAATTTAAACCAAAGCCCCTGTCTGAAAACGGTAATTCTGGCTTGAAACCTATTTTGAAAACCCTAACCCTTTCTTGAGACCAAAATGACACACACCTTCATTTGAAACTGCAATTTCAAAACCCTAATCCTTGTTTGCAACCCTAACAGTGGTTTCAAACCTCAAATTCAAACCCTAACCCATGTTTGAAACCCTAAAGCTTTTTTCGAAACCCTACCGTGAAACCTTGACTCAATTTTGAAACTCAAACCCAGGCTTGAATCCCTAACCCTTGTTTGAAACCCTAAAATTAGTTTCAAACGCGAACATCCACTTGTAACGCTAATTTGAAGAGTGCAATCAGAAGGCGGAGGCACTGACCTGGATCCACTCGCGTACGGTGTCATCGGATGGCGTCCATCCGTTCTGCCGATAGTTGAGGCGAGAGCGTTCCGGCGACCAGTTATTGTTGTACTGCGAGGAGGCGCTGATTTGCTCGGAGGAAATCTCACCCGACTCCATGCCGAGAGGCTCCGAACACGAGAATTCTGACACAAGCACACGGCAGCCAACGTTAGGGCTTTGACGTCCGCCAAGGCTTTGGCATTTGCCAGTTGGGCCTTTCACACTAACAACGTTCAGTGCGAAAGGCAACGACACCAAATGCAAAGTTAACTTGGCCTTGGAACCCTAATTTCTAACCCTAACTCTTGCATTGAGCTATCCCTGGCTTCAGACCAAATTGTAAACTCTAACCATTGTTGGAAATTTTATCCCAGGCTTCAAACCCCATTTTAAACTCCTAAAACTGGCTTGACACCTTACTATGAATCTCTCATCCTCATTTGAAACCCACTTTTGTAACCCAAACCACCCATCCATTTTCGGATCCGCTTATCCTCACAAGGGTCGTGAGGAGCCTGTTGGAGCCTATCCCAGCTGTCTTCGGGCAGTAGGTGGGGGACACCCTGAACTGATTGCCAGCCAATCGCAGGGCACACAGAAACGATTTTTTTTCCCAGGCTTCAAACACCAATTTGAACTCCTAAAACTGGCTTGACACCTTACTATGAATTTCTAATGCTCGTTTGAAACCCACTTTTGTAACCCAAACCATCCATCCATCATCCGTTTTCTGATCCACTTATCCTCACAAGGGTCACGGGGGGTGTTGGAGCCTATCCCAGCCGTCTTCGGGCAGTAGGCAAGGGACACGGTGAACTGGTTGCCAGCCAATCGCAGGGCACACAGAGACGAACAACCATCCGCGCTCACACTCACACCTAGGGACAATTTAGAGTGTTCAATCAGCCTGTATGCAACCCTAATTATTCTCTGAAACCATAACTTGAAACCCCAACTCTGTTTTAAAATCCCAAATTGAAAGCCAAACTCTGTCAAATTTTGGCTTCAAACCCTAATTTGAAACACCAACCTTAGTTCGAAACCCTATCTAGGGCTTGCAATCCTAACCCTGACTTTAAACCCGAATTTAAATTCTAACCCTGTCTTGAAACCTGAATTTGAAAGCCTAACCCTGGTTTGGAACGCTGCTAATGAAACCCTTCCCTTTTGGTGGAAACCCTAACCCTTGTATGAGGGTGCCAAGCCTGGCTTTGAAAGGATAATGCAGTCTTGACACTGTACTGTGAAGAAAGATCACCTTGTTGCGTGTTTCCTTGGGGGAGGCCAGTGTCTCTGATGGTGTAGTTGGCGGAGTCCTTGCAATCCTAACCCTGACTTTAAACCCTAATTTAAAATTCTAACCCTGTCTTGAAACCTGAATTTGAAAGCCTAACCTGGTTTGGAACGCTGCGAATGAAACCCTTCCCTTTTGGTTGAAACATCTAACCCTGGTATGAGGGTGCCAAGCCTGGCTTTGAAAGGATAATGCAGTCTTGACACTGTACTGTGAAGAAAGATCACCTTGTTGCGTGTTTCCTTGGGGGAGGCCAGTGTCTCTGATGGTGTAGTTGGCGGAGAATCCCTCCTTGGTGATGGCCGTGTCGGTTGTGATGGTCATGGACAGGATGCCCGTGTAGGAGATGACGCGGCCCGGAGACGTCTGGCCGCAGTAGCGCCCGATGTGGGGACCCACTGGTGAGCACGAAGCACAAAGAAAAAAAAAACGTCCATGTTTTCTTTTGATTTGGATTATTTGGAGTGACCGTGACATCATCAAAAATCCAAAAAGTGAACCTGCATTGACTCACTGCAATGAAAAGCAACACACAGGGTAACGCACCAACTCCCTGGCTAATCCGGGCTTCACATCGTACTTTTTAATTCGAACACTTGCTTGGAACCTTAACCCAGCCCTGTAAACTTCCTTTAAAACCCTACCCGTGTCTTGAAATCATACTTTGAAACTGTAATCCAGACTTCAAAGCATATTCCAAACTCATGAGAAAGAAGCACTCTTATTTCACTTCGGGATGTGATAATCGCATATTAATTGAGATGAACACCAAATTAGGTAATTATTTTTAAACCGATGATCATCATGTCATTTATCATGATAAATATTATCTTTCAAAAAAGAAAATCTCGTCATAGTCATCAACGAGGTTTGCATGCCAGCTGGCGGCATCCCCCCTTAACGCATTGTCACACTCGCGGCTCCGCTAATCTGCGAGGATTAATGTCGTCATCGCTGCCAGCTGCGAGCAATGCCGTTCACAATCTGTGACGGATTATACGTGGAATTACGACAGTTTTATCAGGCGCGCGGCATCCACGCCGCCAGCCTACGTGCTGTTGCCGATGTAACAATTATGCACCGAAGATATAAGACAAGATGCGTTCATCAAATTACTATACATGATACCCGATTATTTCCCTGGTTGGAAAAGCAGCAGGGTCTATTTAAGGGAGGTGTTTATTTTTCTTAAATAACCACCTTTTTTTTTATGGCTAAGGGAGGCATTTATTTATCTTAATTATGCCTACTACCAGTTGTTTAAACTGTTGGGAAAAAGGATGGATCTATTTCAGAGAGGTCCATCCATCCATTTTCTGATCCACTTCATCCTCACAAGGGTCGCGGGGTGTGCTGGAGCTTATCCCAGCTGTCTTCGGGCAGTAGGCGAGGGACACCCTGAACCGGTTGCCAGCCAATCGCAGGGCACACAGAGACAAACAACCATCCACGCTAACACTCATTCCTAGGAACAATTTTGAGTGTTCAATCAGCCTGCCATGCATGTTTTTTTTTTTTTGGAATGTGGGAGGAAACCGGAGTACCCGGAGAAAACCCACAACAGGCATGGGGAGAACATGCAAACTCCACACACATCGAACCCGGTACCTCTGCACTGTGAGGTCGACGCGCTAACCACTGGTCCACCGGGCCACCCTATTTCACGGTGGTGTTCATCGTAAATCATTACACTTACTACGTGTTTATTTCCTGATAAGAAAGGGGACCTATTTGTTTGAGGGAGGTGTTCATTTATCTTCAATCTACCCCCCTGCCCCATTTGGATAAGGGGAAGCTTTTTTATGAGGAAGGCATTTCTCAGAAAAAGATCCGAACCCGCAGGATATCCGTCCCAGATCTCCAACCAGTCATAGCGGCACAGCGCCCCCGGTGGCGGTGTGGTGTCGGGTTCCATGTCGAAACTGTCGAACTCCACCAAGATCTCGGACATCTTGGGGGCGAAGATCATGAAGGTGCACTCCAGGTTGTTGGGGTACTTGTCGGGGTAACCCGGCGTCTTGATGACCCCCGAGGGAGCCGTGAAGTTCTTGGAACATTCCTGACCTGTCGGGAATGAGATGCAAAGGAATGTTTTTAATATGGGGAAAGGGGTTTAAAGTGTCAAAGTGTGTTTGGTTGGGAACAAAATTGATGCTTGTGTGACCGCCTACCCCCCCGAGGGCCAACACATGTTTTCACATAAATGTCACTTTGCCTTTTAATTGGGGGAAGCAGCTCTTATTTACAGTTATCGCTTGTGATAACAGAAATAATGCCGCCGACTCTTCTTGCTGTTTGTTCAGATTCACATCTGCAGCTGGATTCGTTCACAGATACCTTCAGGGTCTCAAAGACAGTCATATCTTTCACAACTCTCGCAACAACACCGCGGCGGCAAACGGGTTGCGTGTTATGTTTCATTTGTGCCTTATGCCTAACTGAGCCTTTCTGCTTGGTCGCTCCTCATCAACTTTCCTCATCAATCACCACGCCGCCATTTTAATGACACCACCTGTATCGGTGAGTAGTGTGTGTGCGCGCGTGTGAGTCACGTTCACTTGGGGTGGGACACTCCAACGGATCTTGACTTCATTTTTGGGCCCTAAGCTCAAAGTCAGTTGGTTATGTCACAATTTCTCGGTTGTATCGAACAGCATGTGACGCTTCCGAAGACATGTTGCTATTGTGTGCGTGTGTGTGTGTGTGTGTGTGTGTGTGTGTGTGTGTGTGTGATTCTCGAGAAGAGTCACACTTGGGGCATGTTTCCCAGTGGGAATGTTCACTTTAATGTGTGACTCATCATGCAGTCGCGGACCATCCACTGAGTGTGTTTTTAATGTTTTTTTTTTTTTTTTAATTTGGTCCTGACTAAATGGCACATTTATCGTTAAAGATACCGCGATTGTTGTCAAATATACATTTTACGATGCTCTGTGTTTACGTTTCTTGACCAATCTCGCTTATTTATTCTTTATTTATGGCCGTTTGTATCTATTTATTTATTTTTAAGAGCACATACTGCGGCTTGATATCAGAGTGTACCTTAGAACAAAAAAATATATTTACAGGAATGGTATAATTAGTGCAAAAAAAAAAAAAATATATATATACAGGCATGGTATAATTAGTGCAAAAAAAAAAAAGAAAGAAATTGTATGTAACAATATGAAGAGGTGAAATAGTATATTATAAATACTGAGTGTACGAGTTCCATGGTGAGGTTTTGTTTTGTTTTTTCCCCTGAGGTGAAGACTTCAATTTAAACGTCTTTATGTGGCGGCTCCCCAGTGTGTAAAGTCAGCATGGAGGAACTGGGTGGAGACGAGATACGGAACCCACAATTTCCTTTTTATGCGCTTGCCTTCAGTATGACCTGACTGTTCATGTTGTGTAAACTGTGACCGATAGTCCCGAGACAACAATTTTCCTGTGGAATCGATTAAATCCGGTGTAACAGTAGGCCAAAAATATCAGCTTGGATGTATCAGTTGGGTTTTTAAAGTGATGCTTCTGAAAATTGTCATTTGAAAAGTGATTGAAGTGGAAATATGGACAAAGATTGTTTTTACAATTTTTTTTTCTAAATTGCTGGTTTTGATCATTTTATTTGAGTTTTTTTTTAATTGATTATTGCCTTCTGTTTGCAGTTTTTTCTTAGTACCGCTTCCCACAATGTTATTTTTCTGTCGCACTGTGTGTAGTATGTTTATTTTTGCAATCATGGTGTTTTCGATGACGTTGTTTTTCATATCACTGTTTTGATTATGTTGTTCCATATATCTGTGCTCTGAAAAGTTACTTTATTTTATGTTGTAACACAGCAGAAGATTGAATGACATTAAAATGAAAACCGCCTGCAGGAAAATGCTCCAATATTTGACCCAATAAAATAATTCTAAATTCAGATACAAACTAAAGACTAGCTATGATCAAATCCCCCAAAAACTTTTTTGGGACGCAAAATTGTAAGATCTTTTGACACATTTTCCCCCTTTATGGCAAATAAAGTGAATCCACGGGATAGACATCATTAATCGTGTCATGGCGCCAAGGTCGAGGTGAGCGTTTTGAATCGGCTACAATCCACACACACTCTTGTGTGCGCACGCACACTCTCATGCGGTCCAACTTCTTCAACACCGCTGCATTCATTGTCAGGTCGTTCCTGCTGCATTCAAGGACAAACGGACCATTAGCTAAACGGGCCGAGGATCCCGCGCACCTGTCTGCTACAAACACACGCAGGCACGCAAACAGCTCCTCATCGGGGAAATGTATTCAAAAACGGTCATCTTTTATCAGATTTGAGCATTCATATCTTTCTAAGAGCAGATTTTTGGTCATTCGACGGTGTTGTTAAATATACGTCGGTGATATTTGGTGAGTGGCAGCTTGGTGAAAGCAGGATCGATCCCAAGGGAGGCCAAGGAGTCGAAAAGGCAGCGGGAGATGTTGACATTCCCACAAGCTCGTTAATCATGTTCAGTTAGCGTGGCCACACGAAAAACCTAATACACGAGTGCGCCATTTTCCACATTCTTTTCTCTTGTTTTGCATCGTGTGGATTTTTAAATCAGGTTTTTGGTTGCTTTCGATATTGTTGCAGCGATGATCCAAAAATTACTGTTGTCGCTGCTTTTTCTGTACTGGTATTTTATTTTACGTTTTGTGTGCTGTTGATGAGATATTATCCATCACGGTTTTGCAATGTTTTTTTTTTTTTGGTGCCTACTGTTTACCATAATATCACTTTGGATGTTTTTCTATATACTGTATCTGTACATATTTCATTGTTTTTAATTCTGCTTTAATCGGTTTTCTGAATTTCATTCTGTTTTGGGTGGGTTTCTTTACCTGTATTTCTTTTTGTCAATTATGTTTTTTTTTTGGGGGGTTTTCTTCAGTGCCTCTCCCTTGTTTTTTCCTCGTTTATTATTTCCTAACCCTTTCTATATTTTCTACATTTTATTTCTATATTTTCTATATCGCTGCTTTATATGATCGTGTTTTTTCCTGTTTTCTATTATCCTGATTCATCTATATAATGAATATTCTCGATAGATTTTTTTCAGATTTTAGATTTTAGATTTTTTTCCAGTAATGTTTTCTATGAGGTTGTTTTCTCTATGATGGATGTTTTTGTCAATCACTCACTCACTCACTGGCACACACCTGTTTTGAAGACCTCGTAGCGTACGGAGAATCCGGCTCCGTGCGTCTCATAGTCAGAGACGAACTTGATGAGGAGCTGCTCGCCGCTGGAGATGATGGGCGAGGGTGCAATCTTGCCACAGAACTTGCCCAACATGGGCGCTTGTTCATCCTCACCGTTGTAAACCTCCACGTAGTCGTACCTGAAGGTGACACGCAGGGAGATTAGTGTGGGTAGAAAAAAAAAATTGAAAACACGCAGATTTCTTTCCCCCCAAAACATTTCCTTGAAATACGACTTCTTTCTTTGACATTTTTTTTCCTCAAAAGAAAACACAATTTTATTCTTTGAAAAAATTTATTGTCTTCCGAGGGAAAAAAAAAAAAATTCCTTGTTTAAAAAAAAAAAAAAAAATTCATTCACAAAAAAGAAGTGACAGCGCAAGGATCTGATTATCAATTCAGCACACCCAAACAATTCCCAAGTCCCGCCGCTTGTGCCCTAAGAAAGGCCGAAAATACCTTTTGAGATCTGGTCGGACCTTTGGGCAAACCTTGTCGTCTTATGACGATCCACATTCTTGAAGGAGACAGTAAGTGCCATTCTTCAGGTCAATGCAAAATGCATCGATATCAATAAAAGAAGGCCTCGCTGGAGGAAAAGTGGGCTAAGGAAGTCATATGACACGCCCAAAGACACAGGAAACAACGGCCGATTTCATGAGACAACAAGAGGAGACTTTGTTAGCGGATTAGCAGCAGATAAGCGAGCAGACGTGTTGAGCGGTGTGAGGCAAATCAAGAAATGACAGATTAGACCTTTAAGTGCAGTTAAGAGAGGCAAACTTGTTAGCAGGCGCACATCTGGAAGGGATAACCACACAACTCACACTTAACGCTGTGAGTCACATTGGTCCACTTTCACTGGAATTATTGAAAAAGGTTTCCAAAAAAAAAAAAGAGGGAAACTGTTGTAATTCGCATTCCGACCTTTAGTTGGCGATGTGACTTGGATTGGTTTGTAAACTACCCAAATACACGTAGGTCCACATTGAGCATGATATTCGTCTCGAATTATGACATAATTGGTTATGATTGAATTGAATTGAATAAAACTTTATTGTCAAATGTGCTGTATGTGTATGGAGTATGATTCACTCCAATGAGTATGTGAAGAGCTTTACTCTTAAGTACAGCGCAATACAATTCACTCTAATTGCGATACAAACGACAACAGTTATGACAACACGGCTCAATTCAATAAAGAAGCAACACAATTTACTCCAATTAGGATGAAAGCCATTCAAATTTTTCTATGGTACAAATGTGACTTGGATTGGTCTTGTAAACTACCCAAATACACGTAAGTCCACATGGAGCATCATATTCATCTCGAATAATGACATACTTGGTTATGACTCACTCCAATGAGTATGCGAAGAGCTTTAATCTTAATGACGGCGCAATACAATTCAGTCTAATTGCGATTCCATCGACAACCGTTATGACAATACAGTACAACTCAATTCAATGAAAAAGCAACAAAATTTGCTCCATTTAGGATGAAAGCCATTCAAATTTTTCTATGGTACAATTCACTCCAATCGAGATACAACACAACTAGTGTACAACAATTAATCAAGTAATCGACTACAACTCGAATGTATTTTGATGATGGATTCATCGTTTTGATACGTTGTTTCATTTATCATGAAATCCTCAAAATTTAACAGCATTCTCTGATTTATGTAATCCTCCACGAAAGCAGAATGATCATCCGTGTGTGTGTTTTTTTTTTTTGCCAAAATAAGACATTTGCAAACATCTGCTTTTATTTTGGAGAGCAATGATCGAACTTTTTTTCCTGCACTGACAGTTTGAAATAATGTCAGGATATTTTGTGAAGAAACAGATGGCAATTAACCTACGTTTTTTTGTTTTTATCCAATTCAACGATTAATCAAAAAATTTTAACAGATTATTAAAATAATCATTCGTGGCAACCCTAAATACTACACGAATCCCTCAAATTACAATGCAGAATGATTTCCTGCAATTGCAGTGAAATTATTTGTGATACGATTCACGTCAATTACAGTACAATACAATTTACTGCAATTACCTTACAATGCACTTCAGTCTTATGATGAGCCACTCCAACTACAACGCGCTTCTTTTAAAATCCAATTCAACGATTATTCAAAGAAATTTGACAGATTAATTGATTATTAAAATAATCGTTGGTGGCAACCCTAAATACAACACAAATCCCTCAAATTACAATGCAGAATGATTTCCTGTAATTCCAGTGAAATTGTGATACGATGCACGTCAATTACAGTACAATACAATTTACTGCAATTACCTTACAATGCACTTCAGTCTTATGATGAGCCACTCCAACTACAACGCGCTTCAATTATATCATTTCCTCCAATTACGATACAAGATGATTCCACTTCATCGAAATGCGATGCGATATCATTCTCTGTAATTAATTTCCTGAGATGAAAATGCGAAATGACTCGACGTTGCGATCGACTTCAGTTACGAGACAATATAATTCACTCAAATCCTAATTCAACACAATTTCATCCGACGACGCTTTGATGACAATACGATCCACTTCACTTTCAACGCTTACGATTTACTCGAACGGCAAAATGTTCTGATGGACTTCGATTCCAAAGTGATACACTTCACTTCCACTTACGATGTGCTACAATATGATCACGCCATTTACGATGCGATACGATTCGCTCCAATTTTACACTCACACTCACGCAACACGATCTTGTCATCTACAAGTGGCGTCTGTGTATCATTGTCCATCTAAGCCTTGCTGGGACGCCGCAGATGGCATGCACCACTTTCAACGCGACGGTTACGATTTACTCCAACGGCGAAACGTTCTGATGGACTTCGATTCCAAAGTGATACACTTCACTTCCGCTTACGATGTGCTACAATATGATCACGCCATTTACGATGCGATACGATTCGCTCCAATTTTACACTCACACTCACGCAACACGATCTTGTCATCTACAAGTGGCGTCTGTGTATCATTGTCCATCTAAGCCTTGCTGGGACGCCGCAGATGGCATGCATGCGTGTGTGTTTGTGTGTGTGTGTGTGCGCGCACTACACCGCCACCTGCCATCAAAACATGCGCACGCGTCCATCTTTCTTCATTTCTCATCCCCTGCGTGATCACTGGGAAAAAAAAAATCCACCTCATTTGCTCTCTCTCAAGCACACACATGCGCGTGCCCCCCCCCCCACCATGATGCTCTCAGTCAATTTCCAGCTCATCTATGCAATCAAAGCGTTGAATACACAACTCAGACAACCCCATGTCCGGAAAGGCTAACATAAAACGTTCAATCATTAAAGAGGACGCCATTGAGGCGTCAACCCAACTACACACTCACACACACACACACAAACACACACAGTACACATAGCCAATCAATAATTGTGACACAAACTATCTGGAATACGATGAACACTTTGAGTGCCCCCCCAAATATCCCCTCACCCTCCAAAATAAAGTGTGCCAAGCGTCCTTCACCTCGTCCGTGCACAAGAAGCCTGAAATCAAAATGCAAGCAGGAGAGGAAGACTAGGGATCTGTTCTCATTCAGGCCAGCACAAGAATGCATTTTTTGGAACCCGATTGTGTCAGACAGGCTGTTTCTATGTGTCACGCTGCAATTGATGAGGCCAAACATGACATGTAGCGTGTAACGTAAGAATTAAAGGTGGAAGTACAAACTCTTTAATCAAGCACAGTGACATTAGGGAGCACAGCCTGGCTCAGCCAAACTTGCAAATGCAGATGTGCGTCCCAGTAGGCAAGAAATACGGCAGTAAAGCAACAATGGTCCACGCCGCCTTTTGCCTGAAGTTATCAAGGAGACACTCCAGTTGACCCTCCACCCTAGAGAGGACCAACACTGTGGAAAATGAACGGATGGATGGACATTTTCAAGGACATTGCACCAAATATTGTGTTCAAATAATTCTTACTGGCGGGGGAAAATGGACAACGTTCATAAGTAAATCACAATATTGGTTCAGCCTCACACTTAAAAATTCAAAACGACAAAGAAAGCATGAGTGCCAAGTTGAAAGCTATGCTTCGTTTCTCAGAAATCACATTGGTCATTAGTCATTAATGCTCTGGACTTGCATTAGGAAAAAAAAAAAGATGAATCAGACATATAATTTGTCATTGCATTCCAATTGAACGTGGTCACTTTACATCGATGAATGCCAAGAAAAGCTGTGTGTGTGTGTGTGTGTGTGTGCATACAAGTTTTGCGAGGAGAAAAAAAAGGGTCTTTGTAATACAACACTCAGTCATCAGCTGCCCTCCAAGGAGGGCAAAGCAATAAACAGTGTATCACTCCCACTTCATTGTGACAAGTCTGGACCATCTCCATCCTATACCCACAATAAACAGGCCCCCCGCAACATGTGATATTAATAAGCATGCTAAATACACTCACACAAAGCAAGTTCTTCTCCTCTGAATCCATGTACAGTGATGCCTTGAGATGCGAGTGACCCGACTTACAAGTTTTGAGATATGAACCATCTTTCAGACCGTTTTTTTTTTTTTGCTTTGATTTACAAGCGCACACTTGATATATGAGCGTTCCAGCCGGGCATTGAACTCAACTCAACTGGCTTCACACAGCTTCAGTTTGGCAGACAATGAACAATCCACCCCCAACCCTACCCCCCCAAAAAAATCCAACTCCATTTGAAGTTTACCGTCAGACTAAACAAAACAAAGAGAATAACACATGTACTATTTAACACAATCGCACAGGTGAGCCTTAGAAAAAGTCTGTTAAGCAAAATAAAGAGGAACAGATAGCATTAGCGAAGGATATTTCATAACAAAAGATGGAGCAACACATGTAGACAGAATATGTAACAATATTCACTGGCCTATATTCTTGAGCCTCTACACAGAACAACAAAATATTACTGCAGCTTCCTGAGGAGCTGAGACCGTTTTCTTGTACCTTGTATTACACTGTCCTCAGATAGCCAATGCATGCACATCAGAAGGAGCAGCACAAAGTCCATTGAAGTGCAATATCATCGTGTGCTATTTTTCTTGTTGAATAACACATTACAAAAGTTCTTTTGTTTTTGGTTTTACAAGAAACAGCATTCCCTTTCATTTTCAATGGGGGAAGATGCCTCGTTTTATGTAATTGATTTTTAAAAAAATATAAATAACCTCTAAATATAAATAACTTTGAAAAAGATACTTATTTCATGTTTTGTGATGTTGACAATGCGACACAGATTCAACGATCTCCGATAGGAGAGACTGTGCATAAGTGTGTGTTGCGTGTGTATGTGTATGTCCGTTTCCCGACAGGAGGTCACCCCTGAGGCGTTCTTAGCAGACAGACATGACACATTCCTCTCCCAGGGAAGCAAAAACAAGGCTTGATTGTCCATGCCACTTGTTGACCACCATTTTGGTTTCTTCCGTGCAGTCATCCTTATTTGAGAGAAGTCAAGAGTTCCTGTATGCTCTTGATGGCCTGATAACAGAATAACAGTCTCATGATTTGGACTACAATTGTTGTCACAACAGTCCTAACAAAATATTTCGACCAGGGGTCCCCAACCAACGGGCCGCGGACAGGTACTAGCAAGCCATTTTGTAGCATGCTATGAAGACAAACTAAACCAAAAAATATTGATTCATCATCAGAGTATGAAAAGTGTTTTTTTTTTTTTTTTTAACAAATTAAAGGTTTAAACTACATTTGAACAGTGCAGAGAAGCAAACTGATTTTTCTTAAGTAAGACATCAGTAAGCGATGACAGAACTGTGTAAAATTTTGAACTGGACTGTGAAATTTTGTTTTGAGGACAGTGGTACCTCTAGTTACGAATGTCTCTTCATACGAAATTTTCAAGTTACGAAATGTATCAACAGGAAAATATTGCCTCTTGTTACGAAAGAAATTTCCAGATACGAAAAGGTAAAAATACAGTATGGCTTGCTACTCGCAGCTCCGAGTTTCCTGAACGCAACATACTTAGAGCTGCTCTGCCATTGGCTATTACCGAGCATTATCCTGGCACCCCATTGGCTAAGAGGGACTTCTACCGTATGTGTCGATGTGTGTAAATAGAAAAATGTGTCTATGCAGCGTCTTCCTCATTCGCCCCTCGGGCCATGAGGTGTTCCGATAGTTTTATGTAAATGTGAATCACCCAGAAAAAGTGTTCACCAGTCAGCCGGTCGCTCAATATGCTGATGTTTGCCTTGGACGTCTTCGAAGGATTGTTAAAAGCAGACAAAAGCAAATGTCCTTGGATCAGTTCTTTACAAAACGTCAGTCAAAAAAACACTTCTGAGAGAGAACATGGAATAAATAGAGCAAAAATCGATGAGGATGCAGTTAAAAGTTAAATGACCATCATTTTTATTCTTTGTTTTTTACATTATGCTTATCTCACATTTTTTGTGCAATAATCTAATTGTAACATGTATTTGTTACACATTTTGATGCATTTTTATGCTTTAGGAAACATTTATGTCTGAATTTTGGGGCGCCTTGGAACAAATTAGGGCATTTACTGTACATGGAAAACGCGTCTCTACTTAGAAAATTTTCTAGTTCAGAAATTTCTTCCAGAACCACTTAATTTCGTAAGTAGAGGTACCACTGTACATGATTCCCCATCCATCGATTCATTTTCCAAACCGCTTATCCTCAAGAGAATCTCTGGCATGCTGGAGCCCATCCCAGCTGTCTTTGGGCAGTAGGCAGGGCACACCCTGAACTGGTCGCCAGCGGATCGCAAGGGCTAAAGGAGGTATGTTTGCACCAAACAGAGTCTGACTGATGTTTTCAGGTTGTCATCACTTTGTTTTATTGCACCAGATGTCATGCGTCAACACTGAATTACAATCTTGGGTTTTCTTTTTTGTTTTTTTTTTTTTTTTTTTGCTAAAATGACTGAGATTGAAGAAGTCAAGACTTGAACTCTTGATGGCCTGATAAGAGAATAAGAGTCTCATGACTGGACTAAATTTGCTGCCTTAACAGTCTGAACTGCATATTGATGTTTGAGAGTAGTTCAGGACTCACAAGATAAACAAACAAAAAAATGTGATTCTAAATTTATGTTCGGATCCAACTATGAGCAATGAAACTGAACATACTGACTGATGCATGTACTGTCTGATAATACAGGTGTTGATTGGTAGTTTCAGATTATGAATTTAAAATGTAAGCATATTATGAACAAATGTACATCCTGCCAAACCAACTCTGAGCTTTTCGGGCCATCATTACTTTGTTTTATTGACCAACTATCAACCGTCAATTTTGGATGATTAAATTGTGTTTTGAACAGGTCTTCAACCGTTAGAAGATATCTTTTGATTTAACCGAGCCTGATTGCGACTGCCACATGAGAGTCCATGTAATAATCCATTTGTTTCAATGAATCAATTGCTGTCAACCTTGGGATCTTGGGTCTTTTTTGGGGGAACTTTAATCAATTTCAAGTGTGGCAAAGTTCTTTCACTGCAGCAGGATATCCTGAAGGCATGACAAGTGCACGTGAAGAGGAATAGGAAGTCCAGTTTAAGGAATAGAAAGTAGCTTGGAGGAGGCCACTAACCGAAAAATAACTCTTTGAAAAGCGTTGAGAAGTAGCCGTGGAATGGTAAAGAAGGAGGAGGTCACCAAGGGTGTTTTGAACTCATGCTGAGGCGTTCGGATTATATCAGCGCATAATCAATCCACTGTCCTTTTAGTGCCTGTTGGCATCAATGCTGGGATTGACGATGCCTCCCATGGGGGAAAGAGCTGCGGCTCAGCCAAATACAAAAAAAAAAAAAAAAAAAAAAGGCATCCTGAATTATCCCGCCACCGACGCATGTACCCGAACGGGCACATGCGCGTTTTTTTTCCCCCCCCTGCTGCTCAGCGAGGATCGGCACTTTGGCGACGACGCTATTTCAGATGTGCGATGAGACCAAAGTGTTACCGCCGCCGTCTGTTCGCTTTTAACGTTGACTGAATGAGAAGGGAATCACTGGAAGAAAACGGGATTTTTATTTTGTTTATTTCAAAAGGTGAAGCCAAAACACGTGAATCGCGCCTTGAAGGCTGCGTGCAGCATAGGCCCTTAATGATGAAAAATATCTCACATAAGCTAGCTAGCTAGCAAGCAAGCTAGATAGATAAATAGATTCATTGATTCCCAGACTGTCCCTGAAGAAAACATTTAAGGACATTTGAAGCATTTGCTCATATGGTGAGTGACTAGCTAGGATTCCCGGACTGCCTCTGAAGGCAATATTACCAACTATTTGAATTTGGATGGATATAAAGACAGTTACACAGGACGTTTAAACATTTGGGACAATCACACGGTTGTTGTGTGGGGAAAATTTTAATTTTTAAGTTTCCCGAAGGCAACACAGGGATAGACAGAGCGCTTAAAACAGAAAAGATACACAATTGCCAACTATTAGATAGGGATATAAGTTGAGCTAGCTAGAAAAATTAAACATTGAATGACATTGGGAACAATGAGTGACTCCCAGAACAAAAATTGTGACTATCTTTGAAGGCAACATCAGACAAGATGAAGTGATATACATAGATAGCAAGATTCTCTTGATCTTATCTTTGCCCCCTCGCTTCTCTGCGACATAGTTGCAACGTTTGACTCACTCCCAAAAACAACGGCAGTGCCGCCAAGTCAGAGAGCTTCGAGCTACACGCTGGCTTCATCATCCAACACAAACACACAACAATGTAATCATGAAGGAGGCCCCCTCAAACACGGAGCTGCTGGGTGGGCTGGAACTATCATACATACGACTTGAACAGCAAAGTACATACACTAAAAGCCCATTGGAATTGTGAAATTATTTCAAAGACGCACGTGCTATCCATAACTCTAAGAGGACAAAAGTATTGGAACACAGACCTTAATCAATCAGAAGTTGAAAGACTCCTTCTCTCTTCTCTTATGTGTTATCCATACTCCACATTTTCTTCAATTTGTTCATGTGTCCCAATAATTTTATTCACATGATCTTTTCTGGTGTCTCAATACATTTGTCCAAACTCTTCCCGACTTTTGGTGTCCCAATACATGAGATCATTTTTTTTTCACCACCAAAGCCAAAAGCAAGTCGTCTTGTTTGTTCTGTAGTGATAATCAAACCCACCTTTACCCCCTCCCCTTCACGTGTCTTCGCGTTGACCCCAGACACACACACAGAAGATGACATCAAAAAAACAAGAGCCCTTCTTTATGAACTGTGAATGCGTATGTGTATACATGTGTGTGAGCGTGTCCATAAAGAAGGGGCTCTTGTTTTTTTGACGGCGGCTCTTCTGTCTTCTTTAAAGGGCTCCATAAAGACCTGGTGAGTAAATCACAGCCGCACAGATGGTCTCCCCTCCACTACTATCGGATCGTGTTGCAGACCCGCGGGACTCATAAGCATTAGCGCCGTAGACGCTTTGTACTTGTTTTTTTTTTTCCCCCCCTCTCATATTTTGTAATGATCCAGCGTGCGTGCGTGGGCGACGCAGTGAGCAACAGTGCAACTATGCCATAACACCTACAATCGGATGAATCAGACTGCATTGGTTTTCATTTTTAATGGATGTTAATGCTGCAAAGGCAAGAGAAAACTGCTGATCCGTTGGAATTCAGTTGCGAATCAAAAAAGCAGCACCAAGGGAGGCACCTCAACAGCTCTCAGATGAACTCAGTGTTAACTTTGGTGTTAGATGTGATCATAAGTCTGCGACCTTTCTACAAATGAGAGCTTCTGCCCATTTCCCCAAAATAGACCTTTTTTTTTTTTTCCTGAGTACATGCTGATGTGTGGTCGCTCCAAAATGTTGTGTGGGTCTGCGTTTATGTTCCAGGATGCGATGCCACTTGTTAGTTTGCAGAGGCCACCGAGTTTCATGGCATTTTACATCATCTCTGCATAACATCCCCTTTTTTTTTCTCAAGTAGACTGTTGACAAGTGGTCACCCCACAGTGTTGTTTCCAAAAGGGTTTGCATTCAGGAGAGCGACACCGCTAATTTGCGCTACTCAATGCTTTGACAAAACAATCCCCTTTTTTCTCCAGTACACATTTGGACGCTCTACAAATGTTTTGTGCGGCCATGCGATGCCATTTATGACTTCAGCCCGCCCTGCCTTATTTTTTGCCATCATGTAAACAGAGTCCTCAACAACTATTAGCATTCCAGCAGACTGACAAATGGGCTCTTCATATAGTGTTGGAGAGGAGCGACGCCTCCGTAATTTGTTCTGTTCTACAACCTGAATTGAGCTTGGAGGTTGCACACCATTTTGAAACACTCATCTACCTACATAAGACAATCAAAATTCTATAAAAACCTCTCGGTAGGACGCGGTACATGAATACTGTACAGCTTAATGTCTGAAGTCAGCATTATCATTTATTTTTTTAAAGGTTGAATGTTCACCTTGAAGAGAAATCTTCTCGAAATTCCCAGCAAAGAGCCAAACAAAGACATTGTTATCCACTGCAATCAAGCAGGAAGCACAGAATCCTCCGAACCTCATTTCCTTCTGCAGATGTGCACCCCCCATCATCATCATCATCCAGACTCACCCTGCACCTACTTGTGACAGCTGCAGTGAGGCCCGGCAACCAATGGGTGGCAGAGCAACCCGCGGTATCAAAACGGTAAAAGTACTGTATGTGTGTGCGCGCGCGTGTACGTGCACGCACGCGCGAAGTCTTACTTGCAGTCTCGGTCCTCCAGGTCGAAATGCGGGTTGAAGTTGATAAGAATCTTCTGGCCCGGCTCGGGTGCCGTGATCACCCAGGCGCACTGCTGCGAGGGTGGGTAGGCGCCAGGGTAGCCCGGGGAGGTCAGGTAGCCCGGGGAGTGGATGTCGATTGCTCCGCCGCACTTGTCTGGAAGGAAATGTCACAGTAAATGTCACTATTGGACGTTTTACATGAATCCATAAATGTATGACATGCACACACAATGACAGAAGCGGGCGCCTCCTCCGACACTTGAATGTGTTTCAAATGGCACTTTGAAACAGAATTGGACTACGCGTATGCCGCATTTGACTGGAACCCGCTCGGAACGCACCGGTCTGGGTGAGCGCAGCCGCCAGGACGACTTGGGTGAGCAGGAAACGGAGGAGGAGAACCCAAAGCGGTCCAACGCGCGTCCTACTGCTCCGCTGCAACATCCCGACCGAGAAATTCGTCCCCAAAATACTTGTCAGGTGTCGCCCACAAAGTAATAATAATAATTCAAATCAATAAAAAGTGAGTCAATGATCTCAAAGTAAGAGGTCCATCCTCAACTTGACAGGTCCTGGGAGGTGAATAATCCAAAGGCGGGAAGGGGGGAAAAAAAGGAGGAATTCTGTAAGGTCCAAGCGACAGGTACGCGGGTTCCCACCCGCAGAGGAGCCTCGGTGACCGGAGAAACCTCTTCCAGAAACGGCCGTCGGAAATCCGGAGCGGCGAACCGGGGCGAAGCGACCCTCTCGTCAGCTCGCTGAGGCAGACAGCATCGCCCGCTCGCTCGCCTCCTCACTCCGGAGCTTTTTCTCCGCCCCCCTCTCCATCCGTCACGGCGCCGATGTCGGGGGCAAACTGTGGAATTTCCACTCCCACAAATCCAGCTGCGAGGCGGCCACCGAAGAACGCGAGCGAGGCGCGTACATGCGATGGAACACCCTGAGAAATGTCCACCACCAGTTTTACAACCAATACGTTTCCCTTTCCTTCACTTTGTTCCATTCGCACTCTTTTTGCAAAACGACGAAACGATCTCACCTTGTACAGTTTCAGTCTTTCTTTCAACACAAACTCAAGATTCCTCTCCGCCAGTTAAACAAATAAAATAATCGGGCTCAAAGTGTGAAAATTACCGCTGTATATTGACTTCGTAAACTGGCAAGCTACTTCTGGTTTCTATACGTCGACCTCCAGGTGAGAAGCATGAATGTGACGTTTGAACTTAATTTTGGAGGTGGACTGTCCCATTGTCGCCCATGGTGAGTTCAGTTGCATTCAGTTTAATAATAATAAACGACTTCATGACGAAGTTCTAGGATTAATGAATGTAGTAAAATACAAATTATTGTGAGTGACGTCCCCCCAAAAATGAATTATTTCTCTCTGGGTCAAAGCCACACCCCTACACAAATTTGAATTGAGGTAGCCTGATTACGTTTGCCTGTAGGTAGTGAATGCTTGCTTCATGGCGACATGGAAAGCAAGTTACAGTGATCCCTCGCTATTTCGCGGTTCGTTTATCGCAGCTTCAGTGCATCGCGGATTTTTTCAAACATATTCATATTTTTTTTTTTTTTAAGTCCGCAAAAGGTCCGCGAGAAGCAGCGAAAGTCAGCAAAACAACAGCGAGTCACATAGGGCAACATATACAGTACGACCTGTATATGTTTACTGTATTTTGTTATTCATAAACTAACTTAATTTATACATCCTCTTGTTTCTTGTTTTATGTGGCGAGGGAAGAAATTTCATCTGTGGCACATCTGACAATAAAGTTGTATCCAATCCAATCCAATGTTTAAATCTATGAGTATACAGCATTAAGTCATGTTAATTACTTCAAAATTTACTTCCACATACATGTATACCATTAAATTTGGCCTTATAAATATTATGTACGTGTACCTATATGGGGGCCGGGGGGGGTCGCTACTTTGCGGATTTTTGTTTATCACGGGTGGTTTTGGTCCTCATTAACCGCGATAAACGAGGGATTACTGTACTCTAAACCGAGGTGAAGCAGAACATAATCACACAGTCAAGTGTTGGCTGCGGGATGTATCCCAACGTCTTTTAAAAGTGAAAACATTTGATTTCATTTCAACCTTGAAAAGTACTAGCCAGGAATGAGGCTACACCAGGGCAAAACGGGGCTATAACCACCTCAGAAATCTGTGTAGCCCCAAAATAAAACAGTGATTCCCGCCCTTTACTGAGCCAAGACACATATTTGAAATTTGAAAATCTCACATCACCAAACAAAAAAAGTCACAAAAAGTGGCTATACATGCCAATGATATACTTTCTGCGATCAAATAGAATATCAGTTACTGGTTCGGTCTCTATCAGTCACTGGCATAGCTAGATGAACAAAGACATGTTTTATAAATACACATTAAAAAATAGCCAAATAGATACATTTGATAACACTGGTTGAAAAATCACTCTTCCAAAATATTTTCTCAGTCCCCCAATGTCAAATCCTGAAGCCGTGGCCAGTACTAACACACAACTATTGAATATAGCTTTTCCACAACCCCAGGTTATCACATACTCAACGACAGAGGTTATTTTTCAGACAGATGACGTTCGTAATATATTGACAACAGAACCTGTTGTGCTATCTGACCTTTCCACCGCGAATGAGTCACCAGTTGTGGTGCCGACTTTGGTTACGTTGACAACGAACAAACCCCCCATAGAAATTCCATCGCATTCTCAGTGCTGGCTATCACATTTTGTCAGTAAGCTAACAAGTGACACTTATCGGTAACTGTGCAGTTCACTTGGTTGGTCACTTGATGGGTGCGGAAATTTGAATACAAATGTGAAGAAAAAGTATTTTTTGTCCTCTTTTCAAATTGAATTAAACTGTAAAATTAAAACTAAATGTATTACCCCCCCACCCCCAAATCTAATGAGTTCTCCCACTACAAATTTGTACGGAAACACCATTTGCTGAATTGGTAATTTACTCACAAACAAGCCATCATATAATATCACAACTTAATGCCTTGAAATTGAATAAACAAATTTTATTGACATAGTGGTTATTGATGGTGAAATACATTATAAATGTGAGCCATTATTGGGTGACACAAAATGACTACTGTGATATTAACCCTTTCATACACCCTGTAACCTGATACCATAAGCTGTCCGCTGTAGTTCCCGCTGTTCCCTAAAGGGTTAAGGCGCAGCAAAATGTATTTCACATGACAATTTTTAATGAATTTTGAGATAAAACACTCGAGACAATAGCAGAGACTGAATGTTGCCCAAGATGAATACACGATGTCCTGAAAAGTGACTAATCGCATTGAGAGCGGCGGATGAGCCAGAATGGATCTTGTCCTTTGACCATTTTGAACTTAAATCAAGGATCAATAACACTTTCTGCCATATTGATGGATGCTGATTGGGAGAAAATCGGGTTAACTTGACAAAAGCCCCAACATCAACGTGAAGAACGACGGTCAAGTTCTGGTCTAACCATCTGTGAGCTCCGTCTATGTTTCCCAGAATGCTCTGAGCCTGTGATTCAAAATCCCCCAACCCCCTTGACATTTCTTTAAAGCAGCGATCATTGATCACAAAGAGATTACGTTAGCGCAAAGGAGTTTGTTATGTAGAGATGACGTATAAGATGACGATTAGCGTTTCAGTAGACGTGCTGTAGCGAGCGATCATCTATCATCTGTACGTCCATTTAGCCATTCTCCCTCTATTTTTCCTTCCTTCTATTCCCCTCCCCCCACCACTGTCTTCCACAGACTGCAGAACTAAATTGTTTAAAAAAAAAAAAAAAAAAAAAAAAAAAGCCGACAAGAACATCCGAACTTTGTGCTTATCAGAAGCACTTTAGATGGTGGTTGTTTGGTGCTGACTCAGATTTAACAGAGTCTTGAAAAGAGCCCATTCTTTGGTTGCGGACTAAAAATAAACAAATGAGATGTGGTTGCATAAGTGTGCACACCCTCTTATAATCGGGGATGTGATCTGGCCGTGTTCAGAATTCAGCCATCAAATTCAAACATGTTAAATGCGAGTCACATGTGCCAACATTTAATGTGCCTCTGATGAACCCCAAATAAAGTTCAGCAGTTTCTCATTCCTTTTATTAAGAGTGTTATTTTATGAATCGAGTTGTACAGTTCAATAGTTCACGCTGTGAGAAAAAGTTTTGAACTAATTTATCTGGACCTTGCGTTTGAACAGCAGTGTGGAGTCTCTCTCTCTCTCCCTCTCTCTCTGTTTTTTTTTAAATAGGTTCATAGAAATGTTGCTACATCTTTTCTGAAAAGCGTATTTAAATGATAATCGCGGCTCCCAAATGAAATCATGTTTCAGTGGAAACGACAATAAAGAAACAAATGAGGAAGTCTCATGGGATGGCGGCGTTCCTCTCAATTTAGTGTTGTTTTCAAGTTGTCTTAGGAACAAATACAGAGTGCATTTGAATCGCAGGAGATCAAAGAGCGTATTTGTTCCTCAACTTGCATAATGCGTCTCCAGATTTCTTTCAAGTCTTCAACACAACCTTCAGCCTTGTTGTTGCTCATACTAAATTTTAAACACGTCGCCAACTCACATGTTGGCCTGTGATCAGGCTTTTATCCCCAGTCAGACATATACTCTGATGTTATAAAAACCTGCGGGAAAAAAATTAATACAATAAAAAGTCCTGAAGGTCTTGCAATGACCCCCTTGCTTGTGGGGAACACAGGATTAACCTGGCCAACTCAACTAGGCCACACCCCTTAAATGCACACATCCAACACACAAATGCGGCAGTACGTAATCACCCTTGAGTTACATTGATTGATATATGAAATAAATAGATGAAATATTACTGAACGTCATCTACAGACTCAGTCCAGATAGGAAAGCCTCGACTCTGAGTGTAACACGATGAAGCAGAGGTGATCAGTTATGTACAGATCTGCTCCTACAAAGTAGATTTAATCAATTAATAGAATGCGATGTCATCCATTTTAAAAATACCTAATCCAATTTAAAATAAAATGATAAAACCATCGACTGAAGACAGCTAGACGAGCCCGGAGTCAAAGTTAATGTGAGATCTTTGCTTTGATTCGATTTACATGTAATCCGTTTAGAATCCAGATTAAAATCACAACTTCAAAATCAAATCAACAAAAATTCCAAACAAAAAAATAATGGCTTCAGGCCAGCTAGTAAAGGCCAAAGTCCCAACAAAACATGCTGATGCAGAGTTCTCCAATCTGTGTTTAGATTTGATCCAAAACATCCAAATTAAAACCATTTGTTTGGTCAATTGGCTCAGGCTTCCACTGTAAAACCTCTCTGACATTTTATACTGTTCGAGACCTGCTATAGATGATCCACAATTTTTAATATTTCACAATGTTATTGTTCGTCTGACATGTGCTACCCAAAATAAACCGGCCTTTGCCTGACTTTCCCCAAGGAAAGAAAAGCTCATGAAATGTTTGGCAAACATGACTGTGCCAAAAAATGCAGGAAATCGAGAGCGATAAAGGATGTTATTTTCTTGTCTCTTCATCGTCATCAACATGTGCATTTATGTATCTCGCCAGTGAGGCTTCACTCACACACACGCGGAGGATTGAAGGAGGGTGGCGTTTGTGTAATGACACAGTCACGTCGCAGTAATTACAGGAGGCACTGACAGTGATCCATTAGCTTTGGGAGACGGGGCGGCGAGCAGTAATGGCGGCATACAGGCTTCTCATACGCACAAACCACTCCGTGTGTACATATGTAAAAATATATACATCTAAAAATAAGACCTTTTATTACACACCCGCAAGCATGCAATCAGTCGCAACCTCCGGGAAAATAAATAAATAAATCGGCCCATGACACTAATTTCTCCGATCAATATGAAGTTTGTCGAAATGGCCCATAATAACAAGATGCACACAAAAAAGTCACATTTTTTGCGCTCATTCGTGCCTCCCTGAAAAGTTTGGGGGAAAAAAAAATTGCCTTTGGGGAAAAAAAAAAAAGTCTTCAATCAGTATGAAATTGGTTGTATTTGGCCAACTTAAATGGGCATATGAAACAGCCTGAAAGGTATAGATGGAATTGGGAAAGGAAGTCGACCATTTTGCAGTCAGTTGCACCCGCTGGAAAGGAAAGAAAAAAAAAGTCAGCCCCTGTCACCTGTACCTCTACTTGACTTTAAATTTGTTGGGGGACGTCAGTTATACTCTGAAGAAAGTAAAAGACTTTAGGAACATCCCTGGGGTTGAACAGAAATGCACACTCACCTAGCTTAACATTTCTTAGCTAAAGTAGCCTGAATATGACAGTTTAGCATAGCTTAGTTTAATTTAAGGAGGACGTCTGACAGGACAAGCTGAAGGCAGAGAAGCAGAAGTGTCCCTTTACTTCACATTTGAAGGCTAAAATGTCCTAAAAATGTACAGTAATTTAGCTTATGAGCACATTTTAGCATAGCATTGTACAGTGCCGCGTCACGGTTGGACACTACCGGCCTACACAATGAGTGTTAGCTTAGCTTTATGAGCTAATGCAGCCAAAATCAGTTGAACATATCTTGCCAACACTCAAGAGGCTAACATAGCCAAAATAAAATACTGTGGACTCAACAACATGGCAACAAAAAGTCTCATCGCAGACATCGTGAGATGAACTCAATAAAAGCTGACATTATTGTATGATGTCATATTTCTATATTCAAATCGTCCAAGAGAAAAGTTTGGGATTCCTGGTGCAGCACATTGAGGTTCAAACGTTCATAGACAGATTGAGGGGAAAAGAACTCAGTGGCTTGCATTCCAGAGGCGCCGTATTTTTAGGGACAGCTGTTTGAAATTTCCTCTTGGGGCTTTCACTGTTGGAGCTGGGCCAGGGCTCGGCTTCACTCGGAGCCATCGCCGCTTGGCACCAAGCAGTTTTGGTGCCACCAAGTGACACGTGAACTCGGTCCAAACATAGAAATAATAAAAGTAACACTTTGCGTGTTGTCTTGGTGTGCTACATCCAGGCTTGGTGTGGATTGTCTGGTACACACAACAACAAAAAAATGCAATTTTCAAACCTTTCCCACTCTACAAAATACCCCACATTTTCCCAATGTGTTCATTCCGGTGAAAATGTGAAGAGGTCACTGGCTTAACCTATAAAAATTGGCGCACTAACACCACCCAGAATCTTAGGGAAATTCAGTCCTTGTAGCCAAGCTTCACTTGGCAACGTAAGATTTGGTCGGCATGTCTAATTAGACCCACAAAAAAGTCTCAAGGACCAATCCCATAAAGCAAGGGGGAGGGGCACGGTTTGATGACTCCACATACAACACAAAAATCCAGTAATAGCTTGTAAATTATCACTTTTCAACATGAAATTTGGTATCAGCATACATCAGGAGTAGAGCTACAAAAAAAAATAGTTTCGAAAACCATGCTGGAAGAGGAACACAAAGTTTGCCATTGTGGTTTAATTCAAACATTTTCAGGTCATTTTGCCCATTTTGGAGTTTTGAAGATTCTGTCTGACTGCTGCCAAATTTGAAGCAAACTTAAAAGACTAACGGAGAAAGCAAAATGGAGATTTAGCTTTTGTCATTGTGCGTGAGTGTAGCATGGCGGCAAAATTTCATAACTTGACATAAAACAGGAAACTCTCGGAATAATTCAGATCATGAATTTGGGGAGGGGAATTCAGCTCTCAAAGCCAGTTTGACCTGACCACATGAATTTGGGTAGACAAGTCGACTATAAGTAGGCCCACCAAAAAAAACAAAACAAAAAAAAAAGTCTCAGAAAGCAATGTTCAAAAAGATGCAGCAAGTCAGCCGGTTTGTTTCAAAGCTTTTGGGTCACTTTGGCCATTTCCAGTGATCCTTCAAAAGTCAAACTCCTCCTGGACTTTTTTGCGCAATTGCAACAAAATTTTAAGGCTATTTTGCAGCCTACAGATGTCTTGCATCAATGACAGAATGTGTCCGTGTCTGTCCATAACCCTCGTTGGATGCATGTTAATACTCCCGCAACACTCCACTTATCGTACCGCCCAATAAGGCACCGCCGTGTCTCCTTACTGTACATAAAACACAACTTCAAGCTGTCTGAAGATGTGAACTCCCTCTCCCTCATATTTCAAAAGGCTGTAATAATCGTGCCGCTCTATATGAAGATGGTGAAATAAAATGAGTAGAACATTTCCAGCAGTAATAACCTCGGCGAACATTCGCCTTCTTCACATCACCGAGCTCGCTACGACGCTAATCAAGAACAGCCCACACGCCCTAAATCACTTGAAGAAAAAAAGCTACTTGGGGCCTGGCATGTTCAATTTTCCACCCGCCTCGCCTCATTTTTATTCCGAGGGTGATGCCTGGTGTCAAGGCGCGGCGCTTTCAATCCCACCCGGGACAAAAGGCGGCGGGAGGATGAGGAGGATGAAGAAGAGGAGGCGGGTTAGAGGTGTGAGAAGCTTCAAGCGTCTTTTGTGTCTGATAAACTCGACAGGCTGCGCAGTCGATGGATCGGTCGCCCGTGAACGAGGCCATTCCTTCTCGCGCTGAAACACAACCCGGTGCGCTTTCACCGCCCTCAAGACTCCTCTGATCATTGGATCGAATCAAATCGGATGCCAAAAACAGTTACGTTTCTGCCATAAAATACTCCAAATGTACAATTTTGGAATGAGTGGGCCTATTTATCATCTTAGACTGCTGACGTCTCATCATGGCGAGCCAATTTTCAGATCAACAAAGTGAGTTTTGTGGCCTAAACGGGTTGTGGTAGGAAGAGAAAGCAAAGCAGCAAGCGTTGAGGACTTTTTTTTTTTTTTTTTCTCCACGGTGAATCCTCCAAATGATGATCAAATCAAGCTATGCTCAGCCCGCATTAGAATGCGGAGACAAAATAGCTTCGCAAATTAGCTGCGGCCGCTCCAAAAGTATTGGAAGGGCAAGCACGGTCAATTCCTTTGTTTTTGTTGTGTCCTGAAAACGATGAATATGAAGTAATAAAGATGAATGGTGGACTGTAAATGGCTCGAGCGAAGAGGATCGTTGGAACAATATCTTTCACTTTGCGTGCTGTAAAAACACACACAAATGGAACATTTTCTGGGATTAGAAATTCATAGAAAAAGTTTCGTTTTTTTTAAAAAAAATTTTATTAAATTATAATTTGTCTTTGATGACACCAGAGGACCTCGAACAAAATTTCTCAAGTTTAGACGTTGACCTTGTGCGCACAGCGTATCAATGAATCTTCCAAATAATAGTAACAGAGAAAGTCTTCATTCTCCCTGTGCGTTATAAATCCTCAAGGCCAAGCGTGACGTGCTGTCGTTTGTGGACTCGTCTTTCTCACGTCACTTTCCACCTGTCATAAGTCATGAGAAGAGATCTGGATCAAACCAAAAAAAAAAAAAAAAGACACTTGGTCGTAACGGATGACAGAATACATTTGAGCGATGATTGCGGTTGGAAGGCGGCGGTGTAAAGATGTCACACGCGGTGGTTGTGCGTGTCAAGGTGGGATGCATTCAAGCAGACATCCATCAAGCAAGCAGGTGCCTGAAGTTGCTCCCCAAAAACAAAAACCCCCCAAAAAATGGATGCGATCACCTTCTTGTTGACATGTCAGAAACTTCATCCTTCATTTTTTGCAGCGTGGAAGCAACGGTCATGACCGCATTCATCAGCGCTGACATGTACAAAAAGGCCAGGTGACATTGTTGTTGTTTTTTTTGTTTTTTTTTGTCAGTTTCTGTATTTCAAAGCATGTCTCTGCTGACTTGCGCTGCTCACACCAACATCATGGCTGCAAATAGAGAGGACCTACGGTATTTTACACAGTTAGGCTACAATCACACTGCAGGGTCTGACGGCCAATTCGGATTTTTTGTCTTGTGTTGACTCACATCACAAAAACAAACGCGGCAACGAAAGCGAACGGAATGTTTGCGTGTAGTGAAACACATGGACACAAAGTACGACATCCGAATATTTTTGCGTCACCTTCTTTTCCCCACTGACCGTTTTCCGCTCCTTTCTCCGCCATTGATTTTCACGCGTCTGCGTTTTGTCGAACCACTGGAACATTTATCGCCTTTTGGTTCGACGACGTAGAGGTTAGCTCAGGGGTGCTCAACCTTTTTTGACCGAAGCTCTACTTTTGAAGCAACCAAGCCCCCATGATCGACACGTTAACATACGTTCACGCACACACGCACACACGTATGCCACGATGAGCAACGGCCCCTAACATCAACGAAACAGAAAAATAAACTGGATACAAGAGTGCGTGAGTTTGTGAAAAGGAACTTTATTTCATTTCAATTTTCAAATACTTTTTGGTGAAAATTAAACTGATAGGATGCTTAACCAACATTAAAATATATATTATAAATAACACGCACACAGACACACAATTTTTTTTATTTTTATTTTTTAATGCCCATTTGCCTCTACACCCCATGCGATCGACTTGGAACCAGTCCGCGGGCTACCGATTTGATCGCGATCGACTGACCGGGCGCCCCTGGGTTAGATGAACGTTACAGATGTCTTGATTTCACATGTAAATGCAACTGAAGAATTTCCATAATTTCGGCTAACAACCCAGGCTAAATTTAGCTCCTCCCTAATATACAAAAACTAAAGACATGGAAAAAAAAGCCATTTGATTATTAAGAATAATTTAAAAAAAAGACCAACTGATTAATTAACATATTCGAATAGTTGCAGCCCTAGAATCAGTGGGGAACTCACACACACACACACACACACACACACACACACACACACACACACACACACACACACACACACACACACACACACGTCTGACAGTTCAGATTGGATACAAAGTACATGTACGGATACACGCACGTGCACAAACGCGCGTTCGTGAGGTCTGTTATTTCCTGGCGTTACCGCGACATCTCTCTCAACGCCATCGATTTATTGTCGGCCGAGTGACATTGCAAAGAGGATGTGAGCGAGCAAGAGAGAGAGAGAGAGATAGAGCGAGAGAGAAATTGAGGTGACAAAGTGAAGGATAGGCGAGCGAAGGGTATTATTGATCTGGCGCAGACGTTTGTTATCGCGCCGTCGCACAGGAACGGATGGAAAGAAGTGGCAATGGGGCCTCTTCTCAATGTGCTGTTGCTATTCGATTAAAAAAAAAAAAAAAAAAAAAAGCCCATCAATTATTGAGCGTGAGAGGATGAAATGCAGCAGACGATTTTTGCCTCCGCCGAAGAGTTTGTACAAGTCTGGATGACGTGACCTAAAAAATAATGAAGCGATTGTGATGGCTGCATGTGGACAACGAATGTTAGAAATTTTCGGGAATAGGCGTCAAGAACTGCTTCGGGATAAATACATTGAGATGAGCAGACAGTTTTAAATCAGAGCATGAAGCTCGTTGAACTTGGATGGACACGATTAATCACGCTTGCTATTATTTCATCTTTCTAATCTTCAATCATTCATTATTCGACACAAACAAATTCCGCAAAAACTTTTTTTTTTTCTGTGCCGTCTGCTAGCCCGATAACTTTTTAAATTCCATTTATTGGAGAACAGATTCAAGTTGGAAACGATATTAAAACCCAAATCCTGTCTTGAAACTTTACTTTAAAACGCCAACAGGTGAAACCTTGCACAAAACCAACGCTTGCCTTGAAATCCTACTTTGAACCTTGAACCCAGGCTCGAGACCCTCATTTTGAATCGTAACATTGGAACCTTATTTTGGAACCCTAAACCTTCCGCCCTCCTCCTGTAACATCAGAGAGTTGATCTGGTAAGGCCTTCCTGAAATGTATGCCAACCTCCCAATATGGACCGATTGTCGTGTCGGCTTTGGTTGCACGCTAACCCCATTAGCGACAGGTACTACGTCATCTATTGACTTCTTTGTATCCGTCAGCCTCATCAGGAGCACCTCAGAGTTGAGCGCTAATCGAATGAATGTACGAGTGGATGAGTTTTGGATGACAGCACAGCCGATAAATAACCCCCCCGCCACACACACAGAAATAAAAACAGTGCAATTGGCGCGCGGAAGCTAACCTCGCATACGTTTGGCGACGCGCTATATGCGACGTGCCCCTTTTCAAAGGGAACCTCATCTGTCCGCCGCCAAATGAGGTTCCGCTCTCTGCTCCTTGTTGCCACGGCAACCGCTCGCCCAGTTGCCGCGTTATTAATCTGTAATCCCCCCGTTGTCGGAGTCACCTACCTGCCTACTGTGTCGCCACGGAGACGAGGATACCTCAGGGGAAAAAAAAAAAAACATCTGACAATCGCCCCCCCGGAACAGCCCCGTTGCCCCTTGAATGCCTACTCTGCGCATAGCAGCCGTTTCCATGGTGATACTGATGGTTATCACGCACACACCCCAACAGGTGAGTCCTAATCTTAAACCATCGTTGCAAAATATGTCAAATATGATTTCGTCAATATTTACTTGAATAGAGCACAAACATTCACACGTGCATAAAAGTGGCCTTGTGTACTAGTCTCTGTGTCGAGTTCTTGGGGTCTAGTCCTTCACGAGTAGTTCTAGTCAGGTCCTTACAGTTGCAGTCTTGAAGTCCTTGATCTTAGTGCATCTAGTATTTGGTATTCTATTATCAGCGTTCTAGTCCATTGTCTGTTGTCATTTTCTGGTTCTAAGAATCGTAGTCTTTGGTGCCTTGGTGCTCAGGTGTCATTGGCTCATACTTTAGGGTGGTAGTCTTTAGCACCAAGGCCTTAGTGTTCTCTTTGGTGTCCAGTTTTTGTTCTTTCGTCAGTGTGCTGCTCCTTCGTGCACTAGTATTCAGTGTCTAGTTTGTTTGTTATGTTCTCATTAATTATGTTTCAAGTGCTAGTGTCTAGTACTTTGCATTTTAGTATTTGAGTATCGGTGACTAGCCTTTGTGGTCGAGAATCATTGACTAGTTTTTGGTGACCTTGTATTAGGGTCTGAATCTTGGTGCTCTACTAAGAGTCTAGTTCTTAATGGACTAATTTTTAGCGTTTAATGTTCTAGTCTTCATTGTCTTGTTCGCAGTGTTAAAGACTTTAGAGTACAGGTGTCAAAACTCAAGGCCCGGGGGACAGTTCTGGCCCGACACATCATATGTGGACCGCGAAAGCAGCTCAAACTTGTCAACTTCCATGATCCTTTCTAAAATGTCTACCAAAATGTTTAATTCTCATATGTTACCAAACCCCTCATGATGGTAACTGAAACAACAGTACAATCAACAGTTATTCTTGACTTCTTTAGATGGTTTCAGTCTCCAAACGCTAACTCAAATGTGGCCCGCGCCAAAAATGAGTTTGACACCCCTGCTTTAGAGTATTGTAGTCTTAGGTGTCTAGTCCTGAACAACGCACACTCACCTAGCTTAACATTTCTTCGCTAAACCAGTCTGGAGATTAGAGTTTAGCATCTTCGTTGTCTCGTTCCCAATCTTAGTCTTCGGTTTCTAGCCCTTAATCTTTTCTGTGTTGGTAGACGTCTTGAGAATCAGTGACTAGTTTGTGATGTTGAAGTCTTTAGTGTCTAGGTCTTAGCGTTCCAGGTTTTTACTCTTCATTTTCCAGTTCTCATTATTCAAGTCTTTAGTGTGTTGTAGTCCAAGGTGACTCGTTCTTGATATTTTAGTAGTTACTGCGTTGCTCTTGCATTAGTGTAAAGTTCTTCCTTTTGTATTCTTGATTGTCATGTTCTATCAGACTCAAGGTCTCGGATTCGTATTATTTACTGTCATCTTCTAGTATCTTGCACATTGGAAGCGCTGTTATTGATGTGCGGTTTGAATGTTGGCTTCTAAAGGACCCTAATCTTATTGTTCCCAGAATCACAGCAGTTTAACAGTAGCCGTCATCACAGGCTATGAACTCAAACCGTGTCGATGACACAAACACACGCTGTCACTCTCGAGATAATAGAGTCCTTTTTAAACGGTGTCATTAAGATGCCGCCCACGTGATTAAAATGCCGGCCGGCTGCGGGAAATCTCCGCGGAAGTTTTCATTAGATTTGATTATACGGCCGAATTAAAATCCAATCTCATAAATTAAACAAAAAAAGCCTTGTGAGATTTGTCTGATTTCCCCGGCGATGCTGGAGATCTTTTCAGCACATAATTACGTCTTTCAACTAGGATTAGCCAAATTAAATAGAAAAAAAAAACCCCAAACAATGGAGCAAATGAAAAGCTGATGCACAAAAGAATAATGATGTTACTCTTCGTTTACACGCAGCATCATGCGACGGTGCGCAACATGCACAATATGGACAAAAGTATTGGGACACGTTTTAGCAGTTAGCCCTGTAGGTGTCCAAATACTATACGATCATTTTCCCAATACTTGGTT